ATAATTATTTAAACGGTATGTTTAATAAACTCTGAGAAATAATGAGCTTTGTGGGTTTATTTTGTTTTATATTTTTTGTTTATCTGAAAAATATATAATGTTTCCAGAAACACTTGATCTTATTTTCGCATAGTACATGATTCTCTACGTGGGTATACGCATGTACTATGTATTCTCTATGTTGGTGTACGTATGTGCTATGTATTCTCTACGTGTGTGCCGGACTAAATGGCTAAAATTAATTTTCTAATATATCATAGGGGCCAGCACTCTTGGACTTCCCAAAAAAAAAAAAACACTTTTATTACATCAAAATTGCATTGATGGTTTTAGTTCTACATGCAGAATTTTACCCTGCATAGTCACACACACAAATTATAAATTGAGGCTGGTGAAGTATTGAGATGGTGGGTCAGTAAGCACAAGACTCCCAGAAATGTAATCAAGGCCTTGACTTCTAGGGCTCAATGAGACCTTTTAGCCCTTTCAACAGCATAACGTGTAAATTAACAAATTAGTACCCAATACTAAGCCCTGTCTTTTATAATAGATTGCATTTTTTTTTAATTATTATTATTAGTTTTTTCTATTTCAGTTAAAATTGCCTCAGCCTCCCCTTGATATATGCGCACAGACCGGGGGTTTAATAACTAAACACTGAATTGTAATGAACTGAAATTAATGTCCATATTTTGCTATTCAGTGCTTAAACAAAAAAACACACATACTTAAGAAACATATATTGTATTTTTGTTATATATTTTCATGATTTGTAATTAGTTAATAAATAAATAAATTGTTCTCTATAAGCCAGATCGCTCTTAGAGTTTTGCAAAAGTTCCCTCATCTCTGGCTGCATGTTTCATTCAGCTTTAAAGGGACACTATAGTCACCAGAAAACTACAGCTTTTTGTATTTGTTCTGGTGAGTAGAATCGGGCTTTTAAATAATCTACTCCAACAAACTGGAATCAGATTTAATACCTTTGTATATGCGATTTGCAGGTAAAATTAAGTTATATGGAAGTAACTGACTGCCAATCAACTCTGGAAACTGGTAAACAGCGTGCTTTATACCTCAATTAGCAAAGCAAGAAATATTGAATGATTGTTTCTCTAAATGGATATTATGCTTACCCCTACAATCCTAGACCTATAATTATGATAACTCATATTGATAGTATTCATGGTTCACATCTATGCAATAACATATACGCCCAGAACAAGCAATGAGTATACCGTGGAACTTCCATTCTGGAACGCTCCCTTACTCGAACGATTCGGTATTCAAACAAAATATTGGAGAAAAAAATGTCTCAGTACCCGAACAAAATTTGGTAATAGAACAAAATCACACAGCATTAACCTCGTTGGTATGATGCACCGACCTCCTAGCACTAGACAAAGCGAACAGAGCTTCATTCTGTCAGCAAACAGAGCTTACAGGTAAAGTGAAGTTACAGTTTTATTTCATGTACATTGTGTTTATTGGTTTTCTGTATGGTTTATGCATGTAAGGTAGTAAGCTGTACAATTTGTGTTAAAATGCTGTAATTTTGAGGGTTTGGAACAGATTCATCTAATTTACATTAATTCTTATGGAAAATTTCAATTTGGTTTTCAAGCAAATTGGTTCTTAAAGGGACACTATAGTCACCCAGACCACTTCAGCTCAATGAAGTGGTCTGGGTGCAAGGTCCCTCAGGCTTTAACCCTTCACATGTAAACATAAGTTTCAGAGAAACTGCTATGTTGGGGTTAATCCAGCCTCTAGTGGCTGTCTTCCAGACAGCCACTAGAGGCGCATCTGCAACGCTGGAGGCGAATTTCGCCTCCATCGCGCAGAGCGTCCATAGGAAAGCATTGAGAAATGCTTTCCTATGAATACTTTGAATGCGCATTCGGCACCAGTGACGTCGGACGGGGAGGAGAGGTCACCAGCGCCGAGGGAGCCCGGCGCTGGATTAAGGTAAGTGGCTGAAGGGGTTTTAACCCCTTCAGCGCCACGGGAGGGGGACCCTGAGGGTGTGGGCACCCTCCGGGCACTATAGTGTCAGGAAAACCACTTTGTTTTCCTGACACTATAGTGATTCTTTAAACAGCCTTCTGGAACGGATTAAGTTTCAGTTCCGAGGTTCCACTGTATATACATAGGGATGTGGAAAGAGTGTAGGTAACTTTTTTTCTTTTGATTTCCACTGTATATGCCTTTCCTTTTCCATCACTTGTTTCTTTCCCATCACTTAATGTCTGTACTGCATGTTAACTGAAAACATGAAAAAGAAAAAAAATTAATTGCGCGATTACTTATTTTTCTGTTTTTTAACTGTAGGCTTAGATAGTGAGTTGGGTTCCTTGCCAAAACTTGGGTAGAAAATGGCAAATTAACTTTGTTCTTACACAAGATTTAGTGGGTTGCAAATATACCATGCTGAGTTCAGAATTAGAACCCTGCAGATGACCATGTAATCAGTTTAATTGTAGAAACAAGTAAAGTTTATGTTTGTAAAAATCCCCTGGATCACTTCTTTCAATGCTACCATTTCCCAACAGGGCAGAGCTTTCAGTTAAACCATATCTACAGTGCTAACAATTCTTGAAATTGCCCCAGGATAAAAAAGAAAATTGTCCTCTTGGAATCTTTGACTTACAGCAGTGCAGTAACATTATACAACAGATTAAAGGTAGACGACACATAAAATACATATTGTTTTGATTTGATTTTAAAAGTAGTCTTTTATTATTTTCAAAATATTATATGCATTCTATTAAAGCTGTTTTCACGTTGCAACAGGCTGAACATGATTGTCCAACACGAAAAAATAAATCTACCCGCCTCTCTCAGTAAGACACTTTTCATTACAAAATTATTTTAAAAGGAACATTTATAAACGCATTTCTATTAGACATCATATAAAATAAACTAGTTTTATGTTTGACTCAAAATTTGTACATGAAACATTTACAATATTTACATCGAATAATATAACATTTTTTTATGTACAAATATTCTGAAAGTTCAAGGCCATTTTAACATATACCAAATAATGGGGATTTTTCTTTTGTAAACAAAATCAGATTTTTAGAAGAATGGAAAATTATAAAAAAATATTTATTATATTTTGTGTGGGATTGTTATATATTGGGGTGGGATTGTTCCTACAAACTGCCAGTGGACGTACTAAACAAAGTGACGGTTTATTGATGACATTCTCCCACACTTTTAAAACCTCATTGGCTCTGTTATCAAAAGTGAAATTTACTTTTATTCACACAGAAGAATCAAGATAATTGTTTACATTTTAACTTTTCAAAGACATAAACTGCAAATATAACAATAAAACATCACATACACTGTTAAATATTAACCTGGAAAAAATTTATACTGTTTACATTTTAAATTAACACTCAAAGACAAATGGACTTTACAATATTACAAAATGCTTCACCAAAAGAAGACAACATATTTTATATACTGAATAGCATTTTTGGCGCATGTTATTTCAAGCAATGTATGATATAGCCATAACCATGTTACTAAGCTGTATCTGTAGAGGCATTATCTGTGTGCATTCAAAAATTGCTCAAGTCTATCTGCACAATCATTGCTATTCTGACATTTAACTACATGATATAACCAAATAATTTTGATGACATTTAAACCTTTTTAAGTACAGGGTTTTTTTTTTTTTTTTTTAAATCAAAATCCTACCAATCATATACTGTGCCTTTTTAGTACCTACATACACAATATTTTATTTTATGACACGTGGTTTGTTTAGGAAATTGCAAAACCCCTCATTACCTCTCTTGAAGTTAAGAGATCTAAAATATGTGATGTTGGTGGGATTTACTTTGAAAACCTATACAGTAATGTAGAGACTTCTACCTTGTTGGTTGTGTAACACGCTCTAAAATAATTTATGGTCAGAGATTTATTAATGTCACCAGTGAAACAAAATTAATATAATCATCAAGTTCTGAGCCATCACAACTCAAAACTGTTTTGACAAATGTTGCTCTGTAGTCCATTTTATAATACAGATCACCTATACTGAAATGAGCATACTTATCACTAGATAGATCTAAATACGTTTGTGCTGATGAGGGGGTTGGTTTATTCTACAGCTTTTCCCATCAACATTCCAGAGTACATTTTGTTATATTGATAATGAGATTCTTAATTCTACAGTCGTTTTTTTCTGTTTATAAATTCTCTTAATATGTGGCACTGGCGAGTGGCTATGTTATATAAAAAGCCTTGCTGCAATATATATCTAGATACATAATAAATATTTTTAACTTTCAATGCCAGACAAATGTCAACCTGCATTTTTTTTTGTTTTGTTTTTTTGTTCTGGCACTGTAATAGTGGTTACATTTACAATGCTGGTGTAATAAAAATATTTTCTTTTTATATAATTTCTAAAAATATCTCGTTTTCTCTATTTGGTCAGAGCTTTGGTTGACACAATTAAGCAGCTAAAACTTATAAATTCTATTAGCATAAAATACATTCTTTTACATTGGTTCTAAATCTATAGCTCAGGTATCGATACAAACATGCTTTCTTATATTTTTGTATTTAAATATTTGGAGACAGGCTGAAAACATGTACCATTTAGGTGTACTAAAAGTCTATACCAATGTTGTCAGGCTTAATAGGAGATAAAATGGCTCTCAATTTTAAGAAGCCCAATTTCCTTGCATGCATCAAAACTTTGGGGTGGGCTTTAGACAGTTTAGACAGGTAATTTCTGTAACAAATTATATAAGGCATTTTTTTGGATGATGAACATGGTTAAAGGGGCATTTTTTTTTTTTTTTAATAATCACTGGTTAGTAGATATAGCCCCCAATAAAACCATGTATGCATTTAATTATGCACTTTTGTATTGAAGTATATCTAAAAACAGCTTGCAAAAGCTGCAGATCTGTTTCAGCATTTGCAAACCCTCCTCTTATAACCCTGCCCAGACTTTCTGTGGCTGTCCAATCACAGACTTCCCAATGCAGCTCAATGAGAAGACTTTGCAGGGCAAAGTCTTTGCTGCCTCTTGAGTTTAACTCCACTGAGCTAACCAAACCAGGAAGGTAATTTGATTGACATCCAGGGGTTGTAACAAGGTTCGTTTATAAAATTGCCAATTTCTACTAAAATCTGCACGTTTTGTAAAATAAAAGAGGACACAATATTGACTCATGAAGCACTTCAACAAGCTAAAGTGCTTTTAGGGGTCTGAAGTGTCCATTTTTAAGCATAAAATACTTTTATCACAGCCTAGAGGATGTGTTAAGGGCCTTGTGTCTGTGTAATCCTGAGCCAGATGCTGATATACCTTCTGAGGTGGTATTGCATTCATCTATGGCAGATGATACCTCTTAGCAATATACTAATTAATTGTGGGTGTCCATTTTGAAGCCAAGCAAGGAAAAACAATTACAATAGTCGGTTACTTGTGTCTAAAGTTTGCTTATCACATTGTGCTGTAAAATTATAAATTATTAATAATATTACTAATAAAGTGCTAATATTCTTAATGTGATAAATGCTAGATAGAACATATTTTCCTCTTAGGTTCATAGACAGCAATGAGAAAATAAACAAATCTTATAATATTACCATATAGATTTGATGCTTAATAAAATCAAATTTTTCTTTATAATATTTAGATATGTGTATTTTGAACATGGTAAAACAAAGTGCGTTTTGTTACATCAGAAACTTTACAGCATTGGTATCTTTACCAGTGTTGTTATAAATGCAGATAACGTTCGTGATCTTACATATGTAGAATATCTCTGAATCTAGCAAAATGTATCTACTAATTCTGATTTTTTTTTTTAATAGTAGCAATTTACTCAGACTTTATATCTTCTAAAATGAGACATGCGAATGAACAATCTAGCAGAATTTCATAGGATTTTCATGGGAAAAATCCAATCTACATAAATAAAATATCGGCACACATTACCGAATAAAGGTGGTCACGTAATTTTCATTACATACCGTTTGCTATTTCACAACGCAAACCAATCAGTAGTTTTTAGTGGGGTAAATGCACTAGTCAAAGGCAATAACAAAATTGGAGGGCTGTATGTCACTAAGTAGTGTAGGCTCAATTATGCAAATTAATATAATTAAACCTATAATATTTTAAGGCAGGCTACGAGCTACAGAGTACAAGTCACAACCCATTCAAATGTCCGCCAGCTAAGAACAATGCTTTTTAGCATTGATGGATAATCTTAGCACCCCAGATGTTGTTGAAGAATATTTCCCATAATGCACAGTGAGGATGGTTGTGAAACAAAGAAAATGCAGTTCAAAAACATCCAACGTTAGCCATGATTTTACATCTAATAGTTATCTTGTATTGTAACTGCCGCCATTGTAACGATTCTACCATATCGGATATTCTAAACAAAAAGTTATACCAAAGAAAATAGAAATAGAACTACTTAATACTTTTGTAGCAAAACACCCATAGGAGGACACTTAACAAGTTGTTCTAAAAGTGGCTTAGAGTTCTAAAATGGGCAATCGCCATGGAAACCATTGGAACAAGCAGGTACATTACATTGGTGACTCCTGTCCATTTGCACAACTTTGTACAACAGAACACTTCTGATAAACCTCAAACAATGACTCCACACATGTTAATAACTGAACGAATTGGGCTTGGCCCTGGCATTTGAGTCCAACAGCTAGCAGTCAGTTTGGACACTCCTGGTATACAGTGTATATTTATAATATTTTGTACATATACTCCAAGGGTAATGCCACAAAGTGAATTTCAAATATATATATATATATATCAGGAAAATATAATGTTACAGTAGTTTTATACTAACCTGTGTTAATGTAGAGAACTTTAAAAACAAATAAAAATTAGAAGGCAATTTTCTTATTTATCTACATAGGTTGGTTGGAATAATCGTATATAATTCTATAATTAAATATATAATATCATGTGCTGTGAAATAATATTTCACTTTTTTTGTGCAAAATATGTTATGGCTATTATACCATTCCAACTGGTATAGATTTCCTTTTAAATAATAGCATTTAATATATTATTTTGTTAACTTAATATTGCAATAAGAGCTTAATTTGCTGTTTAATTACAGTAGCCCTTTTTCACTAGACTGTGAGTATAATTTAATTCACCTATTTAAAGTTTAATTTGTGTACTGCAATAAACTGATATAAAACTATCACTAGATCTGTTACTTTGTATCACATAATGGCCACATGATTATATACAAAGAAATGTACAGAAGAAGGCATTTGAAAAACATTAAAGAGACACATTTATAAATAAAATCCCATTATGAGATCATAATTACCATAAAAATAAAATAAAAAAATAACAAGGGATAATTACAGGCTTCCAATGTTTAGCATCGATTAGTATATTCAGCCTCAATTAAATTAACCCTTTCAGGAACAGGGCTAGACAGATCCTTTCTTTTTTTTGCCATTCCAGTTCCAATGTTTTGTTGGTCCTGAAAGGGTTAAGATTCTCTGCTGAAAAATTAGTGGCTAAAACGTACTACGCACCTAGTTATGCCGTTGCATATTCAATGTGATAGAACCATGGTGCTCGTGCCTGGTACTACCCATAATTCTCTATGTTGCATAGTTGCATAGAATTATGGGAAGTGTACCCAAAAAACAACTGCAGGACAAAGTTTAGATACATTTGTGGCAGAATGAAGGAAACTTGTGTTTCCCCATTCAACAATTTCCACGTGTTTTGCTTACTATTTAAGCACATAAACAATAGTATCCAATACACTAAAATACAAAATGTAAATTAAAAAAGGTGTGTTCCACATTAAACTTTTCATTTAAGAAAACCACAAAAAAATTCAAAAGAATACCAAAATGTATCCACTAAACATTGATTTTGGTTGAGCTGACAGCTGAAGTGGAAAATTTGGGACAAAATATTGAGGGGGGAAAAAAATCTTAGGCCTAAAGTTTCCAATTCAGTTTCTAATATATCATAGTCCACCGGACTGAATTTGCACGCGAGGCCTGCCTCAAAAACGGTTCTGCCTACATTGAACCGGTACATTGTCATCTGTTCATGTGTAAATATCTTCATGGCCCATTCCAAGCACTAGAAGTGTGTAATCATCTACACACAGACAAGCAAAAACAATATTAAATACGTTATTGGCAAGGCAACACCTCTGCTGCCCCTTTATCAATATTCTTAGAAGTGATTATATTTTGGCATAAATCTAATGATCAAAATGTTATACTCAAAAGAAAATCTTGATTTATAAATAGTAATACAAGTATAGTAATCCTTAAATTACATTAAAAATCATGCTGATGCACAGCTACTTTTTACCAACATAAGGACGTTAAAGGTTGAAACAAACAATGCCCTTTTATGGCCATACTGACCCACAATGCATTGCTCTATGAGATGTTGGTTTAACGACAACAAACGAAAACCCCACAAACAATAACCACAGCATCTTTTGACGTAATTATGCCAGAAATATTCCTCAATCACTTGCTGAGTTTGCTTTGGCAGACACGGAAAAAGCCCCTGATGTACACGTTTCGTGTGAGTTTATAACATTAGAACACAGAGACTATCTCTGCTCACTAGAAGGCAGCTGGAAATCTATGGTATGAGAATTAGTAGTCTGCTGTTTTATTCATCTGTAATAAATACATATATATGCCATCAAAATGAAGAAATTGTCCTTTGTTGTTCATCCATTGGGTTCCTGACCGCATCGTTTTGCTCTTTATGCTGTAAAGCTCTTAAATGTCCTTTAAAGTTTGTGAAAGGCATTCCACCTGTTGTCCTTTCTGGTGTGTCAGGGCAACTGCATCTCAGGTAGGTCTGAGATGTTCCCAGGTTGGGTTTGCTGTTGAGGATGCAGGAAATATCCCATGGTGCTTTGCTGTGCCATGTGTGGTTGCTGAAAAATGCGTTGGGTCTGGTTTGCTTGCATCGACTCTGGAGTTTGCATCTGGAACAGAAAGCAATTAGAACATTTTGAGGAAAATCCACAATTCATAAGGGTTAGCAGGTGTATGAACGCATTATTCTTTGCTTTCTACTTTCTAGTTTATAATTCGTACAGTTATGGCTACGTTTTAACTCCCTCTCCCCTCTAATGTATTGATTCTTTTAAGGAAAGTGTTAAAATTGATAGCTGGGGAAAGATTTCAGTTTGGTGTTTTTCTGAATAAATATATTCAGTGTTACAAGAAACCTAGAAAAACAACTCCACAGCTATCAGAATGATTGGTTGTATAGGGAAAGGTATTAGCAGTAGAAAGAGGGAAGTGCTCATGCCATTGTACAGAACACTGGTGAGACCTCACTTGGACTATTGTACACAGTACTGGAGACCGTATCTTCAGAAGGATATTGATACCTTAGAGAGGGTTCAGAGAAGGGCTACTAAACTGGTTCATGGATTTCAGGATAAAACTTACCAGGAAAGGTTAAAGGATCTTAACATGTATAGCTTGGAGGAAAGACGAGACAGGGGGGATATGATAGAAACATTTAAATATATAAAGGGAATCAACACAGTAAAGGAGGAGACTATATTTAAAAGAAGAAAAACTACCACAACAAGAGGACATAGTCTTAAATTAGAGGGACAAAGGTTTAAAAATAATATCAGGAAGTATTACTTTACTGAGAGGGTAGTGGATGCATGGAATAGGCTTAGAGGTTGAGGTTAAGGAGTTTAAGCATGCGTGGGATAGGCATAAGGCTATCAGATAAGGCCAGGAACTAATGAAAGTATTTAGAAAATTGGGCAGACCAGATGGGCCGAATGGTTCTTATCTGACGTCACATTCTCTGTTTCTATGTTAATATGTTTTCTTAATGAATATTTAAAATATTTGTAATATGGAATGATTCATTGTGGAATGTGTAGGACACATACCCAATGAAGGAGCTGCATGGGAAGCATCCACTAAATATGTTACGTGAACTTTGTGGACATTTGTAATATTGTTATTAATTTAGTTAGTGATTTACTAAATAGTAGTGGATAGGAATAAGTACAGGGATAAAAACCCAGATTTATAAGAGGTGTGGCATGGTGCTTCTTTTCTTTTCTTTTCAAATAGTTATTGAATTAAAAAAAAAAAAAACACATTTTAAAGGGATAAATTACTATGGAAAAAGCTGCAAAAGATAAAAAAGTAAAAAAAACCCCCAAACAAACATAAAAATGGGCTAAACAATTTCTCTGTCCACAAACCATTAGACAGATATGGGAACACAGGACACTTCCAGCAATCATGACATTTAACAAGAGACATTAAATGTAAGCAGTATAAGAAAATTCCATATATTAAATTACTTTCTTTCTGGTGAGAAAAAGCTGATTTAAAAATAAATTAAAAAATATATATATGTATATATACATATAATATGTATTGACTCCTCTCACCCGTTTTAGGTATGTTGTCTGTGAACCTGATTCAAAGTTAATTGGCAAATAAAGAAAATTGGTTCAATGGGAAATTTTGGAAAAATCTTTAAAAGGTCAAGTCTTGAACTCTGATATCAATTATTAAATGTGATTTCCCACTAACACAACAGTAATTTAACTTGAATGCTTAATGTTATCGTAATAAAATCTCTGTTCATTTAGTTCTTGTTTTGGTATTAAAAAAACAAAAACAAAACTCTATCCACTCAGCCATTTGGTGTTCCGAGAGGCCAGACTACGCGTCCCTAACAGAAATCCCAGTACTAGTACTTTTTGAAATGGTTGAGAAGTTTGTGGTCTTACCTGAAGATACAAGTGCTGTGGTTGGACCTGTTGCTGTTGACAATGGTGTAGATGGACAGCTTGATGGGTCTGTTGGGGTGTGAAGGATGCCTGGGGGATCATAACTGAAGGGGTGTACGCTGGAGTAGGTGGAGCAGTTATCACTGGGGTGCACGTGATTGGCTGCATTTGTAAGGTAGGGGGTCTCATTTGCTGATCTTGTACAAACCTGTATAAATGTAATCAAAACATGGAATGGTAAAACGTGTCTCGCAACCAAAAAGGTTAATGACTCATCTCACGTGGCTGGTCAATGTCTCTCACTTTTTGAACTACATGGTCAAGTATGAAACAAGGCAATGCGGATGTGAGTGATGTAAATGGCCAGGTTTTCTAACAGCACTCTAATTGTCTGGAAGATTTACGTCTAGGAACACTTTTAGCGCCAAAGTTAGACAAGTGTAGGGAAGGAACACATGGTACTTTTCAGTTATTTGCCCACTAATAATTTTCTTGGTTTTGCAATTCTTGCATTCTTGAACTAAGTGGAAGGGCTACAGCAACTGAACTTAAGCAGATGCTTTCACTGCAGCACCCTAAACTGTGGGTAAAGTAGTTTAGGAACTGGGTAACATGATGGCAAGTATTGAAGAGGTTAGAATGAGGGGGTTAGAGGACTACAATAAATAATATTCCCTTTTATGTCATTTAACTGTGTGGGCACCGATACCTTTTTATTGCTACTGTGGATCACCTGACCACGATTTGGACAGCACTACTGTTATGAGTGTTATAGTGCTAAACAAAGCACCGTGTTTGGCGATACAAGGACCTTTTGAGATAAGATACAAAATCAAAAATAAATTCTAATCACAAAGCTTTAAAACCGTGCATAAAAATATATACTCAGAAAAATGTGTTTTAGCACAATGCCCTCTTGGCCAACTATAAATAATTGTCCCTCTCGGACTTCTGTCTGCGATCATTTCACAAGCTTGTTAAAGAAAAGGGCTGGTGAGAAATCAATTTCGGTCCACGCCTAAACTTAAAATAATTTTCATCATTGTAATTCCCCCTTCTGTTCATACTTAGATTTTTGCTTAAAAAACATTTTGTCTAAAGTTTTGCAAGGTAAAACATATATTCTTCACTTAAGTATACCCTCCACTCACTGAGATAGCAATGTCCTTCATTACCTTAAATGCCGATCCTGGTTATAATCGGACGATTGTTGCCTATCTCCAGTCTCAGATGGAACCCTTGATGGAACACTGCTTAGGTTGGTTTGAGAGAACATCATCGCGTTTCCATAAATGGGCATAACAATGTTACCATGAGTCTGGACAGTCAGAGCTGTCTGCTGGGCTTGGTTTCCTCTCATTAACTGCTGTTGATGTCGTTGCTGCTGTAATTGCTGCTGGTGCTGTTTCTGTAGTTGCTGCTGCTGGTGTTGTTTTTGCAGTTGATGCTGCTGCTGTTTCTGTAGCTGCTGCTGCTGTTTGTGCAGTTGCTGCTGCTGTTGATGCTGCTGCTGTTGTAGTTGCTGGTGTAGTTGTTGCTGGTGCTGTATTTGTTGCTGCTGCTGTTGTTGCTGCTGTTGCTGCTGTAGATGTGGCTGCTGCTGTTGCTGCTGCTGCTGCTGCTGCTGCTGATGTGCTTGCTGATGTTGCTGTCCTTGCTGGTGGTGCTGATGAGTTGGATTCTTTTTTTTTTTTTTTTTAAAGGATATTAAGTTAAGATGAAGAGTTAACAAATAAAAACTCTTTAAAAAAACAAAACAATGTTGTAATTGATGAAAAAGCACACGGCATCTGCAATTCTGACTATGTCACTTTATCCATGACAAGTGTGAAATAATTCTAATAACAATATATTTTACCACTACTAATTAATGATGACTATCTTAATAATGTGCTTCTCATTTTCAAACTTTATTCGTTAAAGTGAGAAGTCTACGGAGTGCAGAGCGAACTTTAAATTTAAGACCAAAGTAACCAAACTGGAAGTATAGCTGGCTATATATTTCTCGTTTAGCTATTTTGACATTAAATGTGAAATTGTTTGCATTCCAGATAATTCTCCATTTATTGAATAATCCTGTTTGTGTTACTATGAGCACAAACCATGGTGTGGGCAGTATTACAGCATAATATTTTAGACAGTAATACTTTACATGTCTATTTTTTTCAGTGTCCTACTTCATTTAATTATATTGGCAAATCAAAAATGTTGTTAATTAAAACATGTTTTTGTTACCTGAACTGGAGTCACATAATGGTGTTGTGAAGACCCACTAGACCCGCAGAAACGTTTGGTGGAGCCAATAACATTCTGAGACTTCTTTCCCATGTCTATACTTTGCCTGCTCACCCCGCTGGGTGTGTGGGACACTCTTCTTGGGTCTTGTTGTTGCATGTTATTAAATCCCATTTGTATAGGTTGCATCAACATCTTATAAAGGACAAGAAAAAACACATTGTGTGAACTGCATTACATACGCGACTGATTAAACTGCCCCAAGAGCGGGGTCACGGATCAAAATATACATAGAGAACTCATATGTGGTGTGAATGCAGAGCATGTGACAGACATATACTAACAAAATATCAAAAATAAATGATACATTTATATCATTACTAATACAAACCTGCATTCCTAACGCTATAGTGCCTCTGTCCCTAGTTATATACAGGTCACCTCCACCGGATCGCCATAAAAATGAATAAAGTAAAAGTTTTACTTACTTTTTTCCAGAGTCTTGGCACTGCTTACTTTTCTGCCTCTCACAACATCACAGAAGAGGAATGGCCCAATCCAATACTCCTCATAATGGATAATTAGAGACTATGATGCACATGTCTGACGAGCACTGTGTGCACGTCCAAGCTCCCACATAGGAAAACATTGTTATTTCAATGCTTTCCTATGAACTTGCACGTTATGTGATCGACTCAGTCGTTGTTGTGGAAGCGTTTCATGTGGTGGTCGATATGACGGCGACTAGAGGTGTGTTTAACCATGTAGTGAAAACATTGCAGATTCTAAAAAACTGCAAGGTGGTACATTACAGGGTTAAAAGGACAGGACCACTGCACCCAGACCACTGCATTGACTAAATTTCAACATTTACTATTGTGCATCCTAAGGCAAACTTTGAAAATCTGCCTCACACATACCAGCTGAAAGATGGCGTTTCCAGAGTTCTCTAGAATGTTAAACTGAAACTTCAAAAAGGCAGAAGCAGCTCTCACTTTTTCAGGTTTCTAACTCATATTTCAAGAGATCTTAAATACAGACTCCAAAACTCCAAACATTCTTCAGAATACTTAAAGGCCCACTATAGGCACCCAGACCACTTCTGCTTAATGAAGTGGTCTGGGTGCCAGGTCCAGATAGGATTAACCCTTTTTTTTAATAAACATAGCAGTTTCAGAGAAACTGCTATGTTTACACTGAGGCCTCTAAAGCCTCTAGTGGCTGTCTCATTGACAGCCACTAGAGGCGCTTGCGTGCTTCTCACTGTGAAAATCACAGTGAGAAGGCGCCAGCGTCCATAGGAAAGCATTATGAATGCTTTCCTATGAGACTGGCTGAATGCTCGCGCGGCTCCTTCCGCGTATGCGCATTCAGCCAATGACGTCGCTAGGAAGAAGGAGAGGAGGAGGAAAGCTCCCCGCCCAGCGCTGGAGAAAGGTAAGTGTTTAACCCCTTCCTCTCCCCAGAGCCTGGCGGGAGGGGGACCCTGAGGGTGGGGGCACCCTCAGGGCACTGTAGTGCCAGGAAAACGAGTATGTTTTCCTGGCACTATAGTGGTCCTTTAACACAGCCAGCACAGAGAAGTCCGCTCAGAGAATTATATATTTCTAATTACGATCTTTGCAGATGATGAGACATATAGATAAGATTTTTTTACTCCAGAAAGTAAAAAAGAGCAAATTACCTGCAGGTTAGAATCTTGGACAAGCTGAAGCTGTTCTTTTATAACATGTAGTTCCTCTTGTTGAGTTTTAATATCCGCTTGCAATATCCGAGTTCTCTCCTCCAATTGCTCTTTCAGTTGGTTTACCATTCCTAGCTGGGTCGGGTAGGGATATACAGGCTGAGGATGAAACATTAAAACAAATAAGATAAACAATGTTTTCTGATGAATGTATGGTAAGGGCGGTAAAGAAACTCATTGCTAAAAGCTCTTATCATTTCCATCTACAATTTTTAGGCCTTGACGTTTCTTACGTGGCTCTGCCCAGCACCCACAGACTGACACACATCCGCCAACTTGATAATACAGAATTTACTCTTCATTATCAATATAAATTTCTTCAACATGGACAGCAGTGATAGGCTGAGGATATGTTAGTCCAGCCTATCCCTAATGTCCATACAGAGACAAATGGTGGAGTCTAATTCCAGGTTTGGAGTCTAGCTCCCCACTATCTTGAATACATAAAGGTTTATCAGTTTACAAGTTATCGGTCTGCAAGCAATGTAGATGGTTTCCCCTGAAGTATGCAGTCCTTTCAATTACATATTCATGTTCTTTAAACACTAAAAAGTTTAAAATGATACATTACTTAATCCATGGAGATTTCATTCACCATGAATGGAACATGTGCATTGCAACAAATTGCTGACAAATTCTATATACGCTTTAAGTTGGGGCGAAGAGCCCTTTGCCTACTACATTGGTGTATGCAAGAAAGGCTCATGTGCAGGCGACTTCTCCATTAATTTTCCTCATTAATACACATGATGTATACAAGAATCCAATCTGCAGTGTGTTCCGCTGCTAAATATATAATGTGCCTACTACATTTAACATTTTTATTATTATTATATATAAAGCACCAACATAGTCTGCAGTGTTGTACAACAGATACATGAGGTCTACAAGAAATTACATTGTGTGAAAATTTACCAAAATAGCCTGTGGCGCTGAAGAGGTTGGCTGGGCAACATGATGCTGGGGAAGATGTTCAGATGGAGTCTGATGTGTTAAGACAGGCTACAAATAAAAAAAAAATATATATATATATTAATAATTTAAAGTTACCTGAAGCATTAAAACGTGAAAACAGAATCAATTTATTTTGATTTAGTTTTGTTATTTTAGAAGAAAGTGATATTAGATTGATCTTCAAAAAATACATTTCCATTTGACATGTTTGTACAAGTTCCCCCTCAGAAGATATGTTGTGTTTTTTTATGATGTCACACAATCCATAATCTATTGAAGCAGGAGATTAATATTGTTGTGCTATTTTACAGCATCCCGTGCGCCTTAACAAACAGCAGCTAATGAGCCATCCACTATTGTCGGTGATATTTTTTCTCTGTGAATAACTAGCACCGTGACCGATTTGTTCTATTTTATATAGCGATGTACATCGGGAGACTGCAAATTCTCCCGGCTGACAATATATGGCATATGGCTCAGCTGAGTTGTTTTCGTTTACACGAACAAACACAAAGAATGTTTAAGGTACCTTTATTCAAACCACACTTGGCAATGTTACAGGTTTGCCAGACTATACACAAACCGGATTGAGGTCCCTCAGGACTGACATGGCATTGCCCCAGGTGTAGTAGGAATAAATGTACTTTGAGTGCTTGGTTCAGTGAATTAGAGATGGTACTCTGGACCGGGGGGCTTAGTGTCTGCTGTTGTTTTATGTGTCATTTTATCTTTGGCAATATACTGTGTTTGTTCATCATTGTAATAAAATAAAATATAAAGCAATATTAATTTAGTTTAAAAAAAAAAAGGAAATCTCTATTCCATTTCTTGAGAAAGACATTCTTTTGGAATCTACTGAATAAAGCTCCAGTATTCATGAAGTTGAAACCACCGTTATACGGTCTATATGATATATAGCATGTTCTGCTTGGAATTATAAGGTCCATCACAGACCACTTCAAATCTTATCTTCCCATGACTTGTTTGGTATACTCCGTCTGCGGGTTTCCATGAAGCAAAATGAGGTAGGTCACTGTGGTAGATCAACTGGCCATAAAAAACACGCATGCCTATGTATTGACAGTTGTGCATTTAGTACCTAGTGTTTGGATGGCATGTGAGAAATTCAGTTTTATAAGAACATCTTCTGATAAAGTTTTGTATCAAGTCTTAAAAGGTTCGACTATTACATAGATACCTGGTTACTGCTGGGTGTCATTCTCATCTGAGGTTTATCTTGTTGGCTTTTGGATAATGAATGTCTAGAGGGCGTGCTGGCTTCTGTATGCCTCATTGAAGATGTGGCTACAAAAAAAAAAATATCTTTTAACCAAATATTTCTAAAAAAAAATAATACAGAGACTACAGATAAATATAGACCTGAATTGTTGTGGGGGTATGGATTTGAGGAGCACAGTGTTTTACATTGCTGTACTAAGGGGGACAGGGACACGGCACCCAGACCACTTCAATGGGATGAATAGTGTCCTTTGAATTTGGCTTACTGTCACATGACACCTTGGGATACACATTTCTGATATTAGTAATTTAGTCACATTGTGGTGACTATAAGCCCAAAGAAAGAGCAGTGAATTATAGTGATTTTAGTGAGTGGGTGATAAACCCCAACTAATATATTAATAATATAATTTTATATAGTAGTGGAGAGTACCATCTGATAACTGCTCAAAACACTGGCATTCTAAATGATAGAGAGAAGAGTTCCGTGGGGTCTGGTTTATACATACAGGCAGTGTCGGAGAGAGCTGTATGGGAAGATCTGCGTGAGCTGTGAGATGAAACAGACAGTCTATCCCTGTTTAGTTCTTGGTTAGCCGTGCATTGTGTGATTTCTAAAAAAGCATTCTGACTCTGGAACAAAAAAAAAAGGAAGAAGACAGTACATTAGAAGCAGAGTAATGCAGCTAATCTTATCTGATACATTCCCCAATACATTACCGGACATCATCACAAATACAAGGAACAAATAGAATGGTTTAAAGTTGAATATTGTAAAAAAAAATATATTTGCTTTAAAAAAAAAATACAAAAATGTGGTGCATCTCAATAAAAAGAGTTAACAATGGCTGCCCCCACAGGCAATACTTATTAGCGTGCAAGTATTAATTAACAAAATAATGCAAAGCAAATCTTTATTAGTGTATATGTAAAACATTTTGTGGGGTTGATCATTTGTGGGCTCTTTGTTTTTATGTTGACCAGTCCTTTTGGTTATTGTATTAGATAAGGGGCAAATGGTTCCGTTACTGTGTTAAAAAATCTTTTTCAGAGTGACTGTGATACATTTTAGCTAGATCGCTTAAAATAATATATAGGGTCCTTTTTTCTGAACCAAAAATGTCAAATATGTTATCGAAAAACTTTGGAAAACGTGATCAGCTAGACATCATTAAAGGGACACTCCAGACCCTTAGAGCACTTTAGCTTGCTGAAAAGCTTTATGTGTGAAGAGTGTGTCCTCTTTTTTCATTTTGCAAAAAGTGCAGATTTCAATAGAAATTGACACTTTTATAAATTAACCTGGTTACACCCCCTTAGCTTTAAAGCAGACAACAGATCTTGTAACTTCCTGTTTGGTTAGCTTAGTGGAGCGAGGGCAAGAGGCAGCAATTACTTAGAGCACGTACCATGGAAAGACTTCTCATTGAGCTGCATTGGGAAGTCTGTGATTGGGCAGCCAAAGAAAGTGTGGGCGGGGTTAGAAGAGGAGGGCTAGCAAAGGCTGCAGGCAAGAAGACTGCAGTTTTATAAACTGCTTTTATGTATACCCCCAATGAAAAAATGCATAATACAATGCATGCACAATTACATTTGGGATACATCAATAAACAGTGATTTTTATTTATTTTGTATTTGGGTTGTGGAGCATCCCTTTAATGGTTATAGGTGACAGTTAGCATGCAGATAATTATCAAATGATAGATTGTGAGCGAGGCCACAGTCTGTTAAGAATGTATGAGCCCATCTATGTCACAACTGTAAAAAAAATGCAATGTTCTGCCAACCTTTAATGCTGAATCTGCTATTTCAATGGTTGATTCCTCCAGCCCAAGATCTCTCCTCCTTTCCGCTCGGACTTCAGCATAGCTGTAGGAACAGAATACATATAAATTGAACCCCAAATTATTCTTACAATATTCTTTTTCAAATTAAACAAAATAAAAGAAAGATTTAAAGATTATGATGCAGTGAGCAGAAACTTTACTGTTTTTTTTTATTTTTTTTGCCTTAAACAAATTGATAACTATGTTTGCTGTACTTTCTGAGCGAAAACAGTGTTGTAATTCTAATGTGCCACTAGAGGGAGCTATTTGCTGCAGTTAGGGCATAGGAAAGGGCTTATAAACAGAGGACAGGTACACACTCACACACATAACAAAGTCAAACATACAATTTCACAGACAAGTTAAAGTAGACTAGTAGTTGATGAGGTCCTAATGAAAGATGTAAAGTCCAAATATTAGGGAAAGAAATCCCTCTCTTAAAAGTAAAGTTCTAAACTGGATCGCTTTGAGTACATCAAGAGAACTTTTGAAAGTGAGTAACTTTTTTCTTTTTTTAAAATCTTTTTAAAAATCATTATTTTTATAACGCATTAAAATAGGGGAAAAAAATCATAGCGGTGTCCCTTTAAAATATTGTTTGTTTGGAGATATAAAACCACAATCAATATAAAAGTGCAGTAACAGGAATTCAACAAACGTCATGCAAAGCAAACATGTTTGAATGCCTGCTTGTAAATATCAGCAATTCCTTAAGACCTTTTTGAAATGTCAGTTGTTAATCCTGGACCCAACTCCGAACAATGAAATCCAGAGCCAAACAGCTGGAGAACTTGGCATCTCAAAGCGTTCAGCTTTGGCCTCCTCCTGTTAGCTTAAAACAATCTTAGAGATTCCAGGAATATGCTTCATTTTAACTGAACTGAGTTATTACCTGACTACGGTGTGCGTGCAAACAATAAACTCCGGCTTTGAATTCCACTGATGGTACGTTATGTAATAATGAGTCTGGAGCCAGATCCACTGTTGGCCTTTGGTTAGAAATCTGTAATAGCAGGACTTTCCCTTCCCATACTGCATCACTGGTTTTAAAGAAGACAAAACAATTACTGTCAGACATCACAAAATAAAATACCAACTCCATCCTTAAGAATGCACTGGGTGACCAGTGGTAGCAAGACCATCTAAGATGATTAAGTCTCCCTGAGGGTCAGCTCAAGGCCAGTTCATCTATTCTCCATTTTTCTTTGCATACCCTAATGATTCAAGTCTGGTATGCTAGTCACTATACCCTTCCATCCCGCTGTGTCAGTTCATATATAATTCCAGTGTTCCCAACATTTGCCAGGTCAGAAGCTGGTTTGTGGAAGAATGCAAATTGCTCTCGATTTGAACTTGCTCCAACCTCGGCCAGACAGTGGCTGAACATAAAGAGAGATTTAGTCTATAGGGGCAAGAAATGTATGACATGGACTGTGCTCTATGTCTTTCCATGTCTGACATTTTCTTCTAGAAAACACAGAAGTTAAAAAGCTGAATGTAGAATGGTTTATAATTTGTGGTCACCTAGATTCTACTTCTCCTCTGTGTTTTGTTTATTGTTTGCTTTACTGTTTAGTTAAGCAGGTAGCTGACGGTGTGAGAGTCAGTAACTCACTCACTCACCCTCAATAAAGCAACTTGCATACTGTTACTAAACCTTCCTGATAGCTCACAATACCAAAACGCCCCAGATGACCAATGTGTCTCTAATGGGCAGCTCAGCCAGGAAGTTCAATCAGGTCGATGTATGAGAGAATCCACAGCACACCTCTGTGGACTCTGTTATCAGTGCGCTATATTGGCTTTTAAAGCCACAGGGGCGCTTCAACCTTGGGGTGCATTAGTGGTCAAATAGAGACCATGAATTATAGGTTCACTAAACATAAAACTATACTGAATTGAAGTCTGAATTGCAACATTTTGCCTAAAAAACCCAATCTGATACTATAGTTGGTGATTTTTGGGAAATCAGATATTTTTGCCAAGTACGTATTTGCAATACGTTGCTTAGTGAATACACCCCTCTATCTATTGTGATAAGGCTTCTTGTGAAATACACTTACTCATATCTACCTTCCCTTAATGTGAAACAATAAGTCCCTAGAACACAGAACATGGAGGAGTAACCCAGGGTCTTGATATTCCCATTGTCTTTATCCATGTCCACTCATTACTCTCAAGGGAATGCAGCTTTAAGAAGGACAACAAAATACAGAACCATGCTATAACCGACACAAAGTAACAGAATGATAACTTACAGTGTACATGGCATCGTGCTAGAAGTTCAAGGTCATCTGCATGATAGTAATCATAGCCAGACGTCCCAAGCACTTCGAAAGGTAGGTATCCAATTATTGGTGGAGCTCTGGAAGGAGGAAAAGAGATATGGTTACTGGTGAGTGCAGCTGTTGCTGACACATACTGTATTAAAATTGTCAAATTAATAGTAGAAATATTAGAAACGGAATAACATGCTTTAGATAACCTGGTCACCGTGAACGTAAAACAGTTTGTAGTGGAAGGCCACAGCGTGACATTCTGAAAGCAACGTTTCATCAATGAAGACAAAATCTCAGCCTCTCAAGCACTTAAGATTGTTATTTTACAAATAAAGGCAGGAACGGGGACCTTGATTAATCAATCAATGCATTCTTTCCTTTAGGCATTCATATGTCATTATACTCTAAAACTGAATTATCAAAAAAAAAATTCAATACTTTTATAACAGATCCAGAGAGAAGAGCAATCAAAAAGTTACAGTGTGGAATAAAAAAAAGCTAAACTAAATTATAACCATAAGCAATATTAAATCTTATATACAGTGTACGTGCAAATATATATCATCTTCAAGAAGAACTAGAAAAATGTTAAATTATTTAACCCTTTAAAGACACATGACGTGTGACATGTCATGATTCCCTTTTATTCCTGAAGTTTGGTCCTTAAGGGGTTAATCATTAAAGTAGTCTATAGTAGTCTATAGTTAAATGTAAAAAAAAGTTTTATAATATTTTGGAATTACTTGATGGTTTATAAGGCTCACAAAGTGGATTGGGCATTAGTGCTATGCAGCTATGGCCATTTGCCACACTGCTCCACTCCCACATGAAGCCCAAGCCTACTTTTGAAGACAGGACATAACCAGGGTTCTTCACTAAGTGTGAATTGTGAGGACCTCACAGTGAATTAAGTATATATAAAATTACATAACATAAATGTCTCCAATTTAGTTATGTTTTTCTGAAGTCACCACAAATGACTGTTTAGTGAATAGACCTTAGAGCCTTCATGGTGTTTCTCCATAAAATCAAACCTTTGACCAGTTTTATCGTTCTGGGTTATAGATCTTAAGTTGACTTATATGACCTCAACAAGTAGGGCCCTTTTTGTAGATATGTGCTACCAGGCCATGCAGAAATTCTTTTGAACTACAATGTTGATGGCAATCTGCCGACCTAAGGCTAACTTTACAAGGATTGTGTTTTATCTTCAGTACATAATACAAACCAGCTGAACTCTCTCCTAAGTACCTGAGGAGTGTACTATACATATTGATCTATCTACTGTCTGGAAACGAAATGTGTGGATTAGTATGTTATCAAACAAGAACTATGTATTTTATTCTGAGGGAAAATCTTGGTTATAGATGCTTTACCGTGTAACGCAAACATGAAGATACAAATCAATATGAATAGAAGAGAATATCTGGAGGAAATTACTGTACAAAAAATTGATTGTTTTAGAAAATAAGGATGGGTGAAAGCACTGTTTGGGTAGAATCGGGCAATTTTCAAACTATTTACAAAGTTTATTAACTCCCCCACCATTTCTAAATGCTGTAAAAAGTTGTATGTTGGATTAGGCCATTTAAAGAATTAGAATAGATTTCTTGAATTCTTTGTATTTTGACATCTGTAAAGCAGTACTTTGGAAATTTCTTGATAGACAATTGGAGAGATATTTCAAAGTGTTGACTTCTCACAAAAGGCACCAAGTGCTAAATAATATATAATAATACTAATAATTTCTAGAAAACTGTTTACATGGTTACCTCATTACTCTTATCACAAAATAAAAACAGTGATAGAGTTGAATTTGCATCTAACGTGTCTGTAGGCATGGAAACTGTAAACCGGTGTTTAAGTTTTGGAAATATATGTGTGGTTTGCAGTAACCAGACATGGAGGCTTTATCAAAAAGGCAATGTGAGCATTTGCCCAGAGCTAAAGGGTAGAGAATAGACACAAACAATTCCAACCACTATAACACACAGCACTATTGGCCAGGTATGATATGTGAAGGGGTCCCCAGGTGTATAAGGCCCACCATCAAAAGCTTGTTCCTGGAATAACAAATTCTTTAAAGCGACTACAATGTCTCTGGCTGAGCCCCGAAAATCTTTAAATTAGAGGTACATATTCTATAAATGATTTATGTCTGTTATGTTTTAACTGCCCTGTACTGTTCTTTAAGTGACCCTATACCGACAGATGTCTGTCAAAATATAAGCCCAGATTAGAGTGCCACAGGGCTAGTGAAAGGGTTTAGGTGTTTTGGTTAACATTACTTTAGACTTTTATAAATTAAATCGCACAAATTTTATTTTTTTATGTGAATGTGTTTAGACAAATTTGGTATTTTATTGAAATATTTTTAAATTGTCAGCCCCTGTCTTTGAATGAGAAGAATTTAACAATGTTAATATCACATTTTCCACCAGATCAAAAGTTAGCCATCATTGCCCTAATGAAATTGTAAGACATGTATATAATTACTGTAGTCTGTTTTCCAGCTTGCAATACGGGGAAAAGGTTAAGGAAACTCTGTGTACTAACAAAGAGAAATTTCAGTACAAGCACACTAATTATAATGCGATACACAATACAACAATCATAGATGTGGCATGTGATGAAATGTTTCCGATGTATTTTATTGGCAAACAAAGTAAAATAGTACTCTGACTTTTAAAAGAAGTAATTATATTACACCTCCCATTGTATGTTCCTTATTAAAACATTTAAATGTCATTAACGTCCCTCCCGAATTCTACCTAAATGCGTCTAACCCAGTGGTTCTCAACCCAGTCCTCACATGCTCCCTAACAGTCCAGGATTTAGGGATTACCCAGTTGTGTCTAGGGTGTTTTTAGTAAGAAAGATAAAAAAAACACTTGAGGACTGGGTTGGAACCCCTGGTCTTACCCGTCTTATAGCTCAACTATACTATAAAACAATCTCTAAATTGGTATAATATCTGCAATACGTTTAGATATTTTGTTTCTGGCCCAAGTAAGCTTGCAATCTAAAAGGATGAGGAATAAATAAACAGAGGGAATTGGGGAATCCAAAGATCTTTATATACCTGAAAGGATAGGAGGGGTGTTTTTAAAAAGCGAGTACAGAAGATAGAAGATTATAAAGGATGAGAAGTTAAAGGGACCCTATAGTCACCAGAACAACTACAGCTTAATGTGTGAGTATAATCAATCCCTGCAGTCTTTTTAATGTAAACACTGAGTTGTCAGAGAAAGGCAAGTGTATACATTGGTGCCTAGGAACACCTCTAGTGGCAGTCACAGAGTGTGCAGCACTGACATTCAGCGTCTCCCCGCTGAACGATCCCACAGAGATGCACTGATTCAACAAATCTGTATGAAGAGGTGTTGAGATGCTATTTGCCTATGGGAAAGCTTGGATTGGCTGAGATTGTCAAATTTGATAGTCTCAGCCATGGAAGCATGGTCAGAAGAAATGAGACTGGCGCGGTGCTGGAGGAAAGGAGAGTTTAAGTGCCTTTTTGAAAGTAAGGAAGGGGGAGCGGGGAACCTAAACAATGCTTTTACATCTATAATGTCAGGAATACAGGTTTGTTTTCCAGACACTATAGTGTTCCTTTAATCCCTTAAGAACCAAACTTCTGGAATAAAAGGGAATCATGACATGTCACACATGTCATGTGTCATTAAGGGGTTAAAGGGTGAGCTGGTAGGCTACTGAAAACGTGTGTTTTTAAGGATTTTTTGAAGAACTGCATATATAATATCATGTACATTTTATGGACAAAACTATGGATGACACTCTCATCAAAGGTCTTATTTGTAGTGACTTCATGTTATTGGGACCAGTAAAAACAGAAAAAAGAGCTTCTACTAGTCGGCACAGTTGACCTCTCAAGTTAATCGGACATACGAATTGCATTACAACCCATTGTGACAAACACTTCCTCCTATAGCCCTCTCAACTACTTCACGGTCTCCCTAAAATGAATAGGTATCACAGAGCGGTTTATAACTAGTGTCATAAATATTGTGCTGATGTGTAATCTTGCTTCCTTCAGACCAAATAAAAGACTTGTCATGAACCTTCCAGGAGCCAGATGTCGGGGTACTCTCAGAGTAGAGACTCTAGATGTGGCTAGATTATTGTGTGGCCAGACTAATATAGCCTCATGAAGCACTAATGTTTTTGTAAGCCTTCATCCATATCAGTATAAAATAATTAGTTTCCTTTATCAGAGGCAGGTGTTTTTACTTAACACATTAAAGGGAAAATATAAGCACCAAAGCAACTTTAGTTTAATGGGATTGTTTTGGTGTATAGACCATGCCACTACAGTCTCACTATTCAATTCCCTGCCATTTAGGAGTTAAATTGCTTTATTTCTGCAGCCTTAGCCACACCTGCCTGCATGTGAACTACACAGCCTCACTACACATTTCCTATAAAGAAAGAACTAATGTTTAAACTTCCTCTATTACACAGTGTGTTTAACGTCGAATTTCTTATCTTGTGCTCTGTTAATTGGCTGCTAGAGCCTGCAGGAGCATCCTGTGCATGATTAAAGTTCAATTTGAAGAGCAGGAGATAATAACTTCTAAAATAAACAAACAGTACTCACTAAAAATCCAACTTATTTTTCATGCAGGCTGTGTCAGTCACAGTTAGAAGAGAGGGGCTGCATAAACAGACACAAAAGTGATTTATCTCATAATTGACAGAGTTGAGCAGTGCATCTGCAGGGGCATGATCTATACAACAAAACTGATTCATTAACCTAAAGTTGTTTTGGTGCCTACAGTATCCCTTTAATCCTTGGGGTTCGGCTTGCACACTTTTACACACTCACTAAAACTTTCAGAAAATATTACTAAATTTTTAAAAACGTCAAAAATAATTCAGTGGTCCAGTTAAAAAGAGTGAATGTGATGCTTTCCATTTAAAATCTTGAGCCCCCCTCCGACACTACCTGCATAGTAGCAGACATAGACAGACAACATAGCTACGAAAGTGGCCTCCCCTCGGTCTTTCCCCCTTTGAGGATAGGCCTGGTCCGTGTAGGACACGTGGAGATCGGGGGCTACTTAGCCAACCTACTGATGTACAGACAGGTCCTTAAATATTTGGACATCGACACAATTCTAATCTTTTTGGCTCTATACACCACCACAATGGATTTGAAATGAAATGAACAAGATGTGCTTTAACTGCAGACTTTCAGCTTTAATGTGAGGGTATTTACATCCAAATCAGGTGAACGGTGTAGGAATTACAACAGTTTGTATATGTGCCTCCCACTTTTCAAGGGACCAAAAGTAATGGTACAATTAGCTGCTCAGCTGTTCCATGGCCAGGTGTGTGTTATTCCCTCATTATCCCATTTACAAGGAGCAGATAAAAGGTCCAGAGGTCATTTCAAGTGTACTATTTGAATATGGAATCTGTTGCTGTCAACTCTTAATATGAGATCCAAAGAGCTGTCACTATATCAGTGAAGCAAGCCATCATTAGGCTGAAAAAACAAAACAAACCCATCAGAGAGATAGCAAAAACATTAGCTGTGGCCAAATCAACTGTTTGGAACATCCTTAAAAAGAAAGAACGCACCGGTGAGCTCAGCAACACCAAAAGATCCGGAAGACCACGGAAAACAACTGTGGTGGATGACCGAAGAATTCTTTCCCTGGTGAAGAAAACACCCTTCACAACAGTTGGCCAGATCAAGAACACTCTCCAGGAGGTAGGTGTATGTGTGTCAAAGTCAACAATCAAGAGAAGACTTCACCAGAGTGAATACAGAGGGTTTACCACAAGATGTAAACAACTGGTAAGCCTCAAAAACAGGAAGGCCAGATTAGAGTTTGCCAAACAACATCTAAAAAAGCCTTAACAGTTCTGGAATAACGCCCTATGGACAGATGAGACCAAGATCAACTTGTACCAGAGTGATGGGAAGAGAAGAGTATGGAGAAGGAAGGGAACTGCTCATGATCCAAAGCATACCAGCTCATCAATGAAGCATGGTTGTGGTAGTGTCATGGTGTGGGCATGTATGACTGCCAATGGAACTGGTTCTCTAGTATTTATTGATGATGTGACTGCTGACAAAAGCAGCAGGATGAATTCTGAAGTGTTTCGGGCAATATTATCTGCTCATATTCAGCCAAATGCCTCAGAACTCATTGGACGGCGCTTCACAGTGCAGATGGACAATGACCTGAAGCATACTGCAAAAGCAACCAAAGAGTTTTTTAAGGGAAAGAAGTGGAATGTTATGCAATGGCCAAGTCAATCACCTGACCTGAATCCGATTGAGCATGCATTTCACTTGATGAAGACAAAACTGAAGGGAAAATGCCCCATGAACAAGCAGGAACTGAAGACAGTTGCAGTAGAGGCCTGGCAAAGCATCACCAGGGATGAAACCCAGCGTCTGGTGATGTTTTTGCGTTCAAGACTTCAGGCTGTAATTGACTGCAAAGGATTTGCAACCATGTATTAAAAAGTGAAAGTTTGATTTATGACTGTTAATCTGTCCCATTACTTTTGGTCCCTTAAAAAGTGGGAGGCACATTTACAAACAATTGTAATTCCTACACAGTTTACCTGATTGGGATGTAAATACCATCAAATTAAAGCTGAAACTCTGCAGTTAAAGCACATCTTGTTTGTTTCATTTCAAACCCATTGTGTTGGTGTATAGAGCCAAAAAGATTCGAATTGTGTCGATGTCCTGAAATTTATGGACCTGACTGTATATTTCTCATAGCTTCCACTCTTGTAACACGGGTATCTATATCACAGAAAATATATGAAACAGTTAGCTTGAACCTGTCTATATCTCTTGGTCAACACCACGAGAGATCTGTAAGTCTGTAGGAGGCAAATATGGTCTCTCACACCTGTCAACTAAGGGAAATGTGAAATGTTGATCCTCAATACCCAAATGTGATATTTTTTGCTGTATTTATTAGACTTGTGCTACTATTTAGATCATACTACATGTACCAATGTTTGATGTATTGCCATTCTTGCACTACGAGATGTCTTAATAACGTAATATTGTGATTCTGCTCCCCTCCCACCCTTCTTCTCTTTTGTACCGCCTCCTTATTTTTATCCATGAAAAAAAATAAAAATTTAAAATGGAAAAAAATAAATCAATCTTGAGCCAGTATTCATATATTGTAAAACTAAGCCAATATATAAAAAGTGTTAAGATCTAGATTTCACATTTGCTCTATATACAACCTGTTGTTAGAACATTCTGTTCTCCTGTTTGCCAGTAAAACTATGAAGTATTCTACCTGCATATTTATCAGTTGAACATTATGCTTAATTTAAAGCCGTACTTGCCATATTGTTAAACATTAAGTAAAATAAAAAAAAAGGTTAAAGAGGAGAATATGCCTTAGTATAAAAGGAACAGTTAGTATTTCAAACAAACTACATAACAGACGTAGCTCTATATTACTGGTAAATATCCTGTTTTTAATGTGTGTCTTGTTCAGTAAAGTTTAAAGTGTCAGGGAGGCATCAAAGGGATAGTGATTAAATATTTAATCATTTTACAACTTGAGTTTAGGCCATGGTCAATGACCAGAGGGTATACTGATGTCAATAAACTAATGCCAGACTTCTACATCCCATAAAATGCTATTGGATAATTTACATGAATCACCATGTACCATGTGCTGGAACCCACCCATTGTAAGTAGTCAAACTATTTCGGAATGGTTCTCCACCTATGCTACACTGAGAAATTGAAGCTCCTGCCTAGGAGCATTTGTTAGAGCTCCTGAGCTAATCCAAGAAGTGCAGGGCTTGCTTGTTGGGTGAGAACATCAGCCAGTGAGCTAAGGCTTAATCAGATAGAGAGCTTCTCTGTCGGATATAGTGGAGGTGGGAAGCGGTGCATTGCAAACCCTAGGTTAGAAGTCAAACCTTTCTATCAAACCTTTCTAAAATGGTTTGACTACTTACAGTGGGGGGGCATTCCTGGACCATAACCACTACAACACGCAAACTGCTCAATGACTGTACAAAGAGGAAGAAAAATAGTCAATGTAAAAAAAAAACTTAAAATGTGTTTTAGAACTATAAAACTCTTGGACAAATAAAAGTAAATTAACATATAGTTTACAGTAAGCATTTTTTAGGAAGTTAAATCTAATAAACAAACAAACAAAAAAGTGACATTTGGCAAAAAAATCCAATATGACTGAAACCACTATGTGCTGGTACGTGTTTCATTACCAGTGAGCGATACGCAGTAAATATATTGTGAAACAGGATGGGAGGGTGTTCATTTTAACTGTGCTCTTTGTATAATTAACCATTTTGTAGTTGTTAACTTGTAACATTCTTCAGTGGAACATCCACACCTCTCTCTATTCCTCCAGCCCATTCAGACACAGCAAAATATCCTTGATTTGGGTGTGTATATGTGCTTAAAGGTGTGGTCATCTGACACATCTTACTTCATTCAGTGTTTATAGTGAGTTATATCTGGCAAAAACCAATATGGCAAAACAAATGAGAGAGCAACACTGGATTTTATGAAGAACAAGTGTATAATTTGTACGTCTTATACTCCCTGCTCAACAAATAAAACCGTAAAATACCAAAAATAACAATCGTCAGGATTTAAAAAATAAAACCTTCATGGTTATTCAATAGGTCTCAACTGTTAGGAATTCAACGAGAATTTAAATTCTGGTCACAGCGGAGTTATGGAGGGTTTAGCCCAATATTTTCTAATAGGCATATTATTTGCACCCATGGAGTTTGATAAAATATCTCACAAACCTTTAAATAAAGAGTTTGCATAAGTTTTAAACAATAATTATCATCCTTCAGTACCATAGCACCAGGTCAAATTGTCTGTATTTGCCAAATTTGAATTTCTAAAACATACAGTATCTTACAAAAGTGGAGTACACCTATCACATTTTTGTAAGTATTTTATTATATGTTTTCATGTGACAATACTGAAGAAATTACACTCTGCTACAATGTAAAGTAGTAAGTGTACAGCCTGTATAACAGTGTAAATTTGCTGTCCCCTCAAAATAACTCAACACAGCCATTAATGTCTAAACCGTTGACAACGAAAGTGAGTAAACCCCTAAGTGGAAATGTCCAACTTGGGCCCAATCAGCCATTTTCCCTCCCCGGTGTCAGATGTGTTAAACTTGGTGTTATCGCTCTCACACTCTCTCATACTGGCCACTGGAAGTTCAACATGGCACCTCATGGCAAAGAACTCTCTGAGAATCTGAAAAAAAGAATTGTTGCTCTACATAAAGATGGCCTACGCTATAAGAAGATTGCCAAGACCCTGAAACTGAGCTGCAGCACGATGGGCAAAAGCATACATCCACCAGCTCTGTGATTTCGTCATGGAGGAGTGGAAGAGGACTCCAGTGGCAACTTGTGAAGCTCTGGTGTACTCCATGTCCATGAGGGTTAAGGCAGTGATGGAAAATAATGGTGGCTACACAAAATATTGACACTTTGTGCCTAATTTGGACATTTCCACTTAGGGGTGTACTCCCTTTTGTTGCCAACGGTTTAGACATTAATGGCTGTGTGTTCAGTTATTTTGAGGGGACAGCAATTTACACTGTTATACAGGCTGTACACTTACAACTTTACATTGTAGCAGAGTGTCATTTCTTCAATGTTGTCACATGAAAATATATAATAAAATATTTACAAAAATGTGAGGGGTGTACTCACTTTTGTGAGATATTGTATAGTGTACTGCAAATATTGTCAACATAATAGATTAAGAGGAAATTAAAGTTGTGAAAATTACCTATGGTCCAAAAACAGAAATTTCCATTCCAAACTGTGCCTTGATGTGAATTCTTCGCACGGTTCTTCAATGTTGCACAATTCCTACAAAACAAAACAAATGCAGTGCTTTTGTTTTTTTAATATATTCAATGTTGACTAAAGCAAGTAAATCAGTTTTTATAAAACAAATATAATATAATAGTCTTTTAGCGTATTTCAGACTCAGCTTACCAATCACTTTTATGATAGAATAATGTAACTATAAAACATGAACTTTAACTGACACTTGATGGTGTTGGCAGTGCCAAGGGTGTGTAAGGAGACAAACAAATAAATGACGTTGGCCACTACTTTATTTAGAGTACAGGTGCCCAAATTGTAACTCTTTGACAGCTGCAATAATATATCAACCATGTTCCATAGACACTTTTGACTGCAACTCAAAAGATTCTCATCTTTTGTCCTGTGGATATTTGGGTATCATGGTATTATAATTAACAGCTCCTGGAGGATTGCCTGTACTAAGTACATCTTCTAATAGTAATAATTCTATATACATACTGGAGGATCTTACATTAAGAATAAATGATCTTAGAAGATCCTGCTGAAGGACAAAAATAATCTGTATTCTATTAAAACCAAGAGAGAATGGTACATCCCCTTTCCCGCACAGGTATTGCACATGAAAACAATTCTTAAAATAGCTCTGAAACTGGATTTGCTGCAGCTCACAATCCATCTCATTACCATACCATGTTACTGTCCGCTTACCTTCAGAAACTGTGGAGTGACAAGACGAACTGTGGCTACCAGACATATCTGCTCCTCATTGGCTGACCGAAATGCCCTTGCAACAGCAGACTCGAAGCCATTATATGAAGATGTAGGCACTGCAATTCAATGCGACAGACAACCACATCAACAACAAAAAAATGTAATTGCATTTCTTACAGGGATCACACGCAAGATGTCCTGTCAGCAGTTCAGGTGTATTACACATCTTGCATGATCTTATCGTGCCCTCTACATACTACGACAGCGAGTTAGGTCTTAGTGAGAGTTAGTTCATTATTCTTCGATAACATGATCTATGATGGTAAATGTTCTTCAGACATGCGTTTAAAGGGACAGTGAACCCCCACAATTTAAAAAGAAAAAAAATATTTATTTCATTTTCTGAACATTCAAGATTGTACTATGCGTTGCTACAAACCACAGCCCTATCCCTAATATTTTAAACAAAAAAGTATATGTAAAATGAGAACTATTGAAAATTGAAAACAGATATTCACTAAAATGTGGCTGTCGGGATTTGAAAGTAAATTTCAATATTTAAGCTAAATAGGTGAAATGGAAATAAATTTCCAAGTCTGATATGTTTTCAGTTGGCGTATTCTGGGGTAAAAATTTAATTTCATTTTAAAATCCTTTAAAATAGAATTACTGCTGGCCAATCAGACATATTATATTATTAATGCAATAGATTAACTTCCTATAGAAATAGATATTAAGTTATGTTAGAGATGGGTGTTTCCTGGTATAAAAATGCTAATTACTAATGCTAAATGTTATGAAGAAATAAATAGTGGCATGAATCACGTAAACATTAGGGATAGTTTGATTAGTCATTACAATGATACCCAGGCGACAAGTCACTGATTATGTATCGGTATTGTAAGGGCATGTTATCAGTTGACAACAAATGTTGGCTGTGCATTCTAACTGGTTAGAATGTAATAAAACCGAAATAAATATGATACATATGTTTAGATTCTAAACTGGTTTCGCCAGGGCCCTCTTTACTTACTATTCCCGTATGTCAAACATGTTTTGTTAGAATTACATGTTTGACTTAAACTGAAAATCTAACTGCAAAATTCAAGTTAAAAAATAGTTAAGCTATAAGCAAGTTTGGAGATTTTTTCCAAATATTTTTTGTCTAAATTTTGCAAATGGTTTTCAGTTGACTACGATTCGGAGTCAGTGAATAAACATCATTAATGATGTCAGTAGAGAAAAGCCGATTGGCCCATCGAATCTATCTATTTCCTATAAATGTGGAGGGATTGTTGATTTCATTTCCTGTTCTGGTCATTAGTGCCTAACCATACTGAACTCTTCCACTGCATTGGTTTTTATCTTCTATAGTGAATAGATATTTCATTTACACACAGTTTGTTTCTGTGAAAAAAAATATTTAATTTGTACGAATTCCCTGAATTTCTGCGGTGTCCTGGGTAAGCAGATCATATCACAAATAACCATCTACAGTGAGACGTGTATACATAGATGTGACAATCATTCAACAGTACTCACCATGAGTAAAAAACTTAAAATCTACAACAAATTTGACATATTCATAAGTCGGAGGCTCATTAGGATCCAGGCTTCCTCTTGCTAAATGACAGCAAAATTCCACTTGTTTTTCATCTACGAGAAAGAAAAAATCAGGTTATTTGGTTAGAGTTGGGAATGGGATTACAGATGCTTAACTTATTTTGAGGTGTATGCCTCTCTTCTTCCACTTGCTGTACAAACAATTAAATTTCACATTTCTGTAGCATTTCTAAAATTTACTTTTTTACTTATTATTACTTAGCTCAGAATTCCAAACAGATCCTGAGTTGGGTATAGTGTGGCTCATTAATAAGCCATTGTTTACATTTCTGTTACTTCAATGCACAGTTGCAGAGCATTATGGGATCTGTAGCTTCAATGGGCAGGTAGAGTGCATTGTGGGATGTGCATGCACTCTACACACCAGTAAGCATTAACTCTACGTTATTACGTTCATCTTTACTAACATATATGAGCCCTTTTATTAATCTCAATCACAATTACCAATTTGGTAAATTAATCCCTTCATATGAAGTATTCTAATCATGGTTTACCAATGCACTAAACTGAGAACTGTGGTCTGTTGAGAAGTGAATTATACATTTTAGACCAAATTAGGTCAATTGTAAAAAATGCCACAAATCCGACTTTGCAATTCACTTGCCAATTCTCCACACTTCATAATTAAATGTATATATACATCCTCATCAGTTTTACAGAACAGACAGGCTGGCATTCGCCTCAAGACAGCACTACACACGGACAAAATCCCGTCAAGTAATTCTAACTACACGTATTTTTCATTTAATCTCTTGCCCTTAAACAAGAATTTAGATGTAAAAAATTCACCACTACGCTAGTCCGCCTTCTTAAGTCACCTCCAACTCAAAGCTGATTTGTCCGTCCACCATCAGTCTGCCTGTCCGTCAACTGACCACTCACCCATTCTCATAGGTGTCCTCTGCCATTGGTGATGGGCATTTTTTTACTTTCTCAGACTGACAGTAAGTTCTAAGGGGTAGGTTAATCTGTCTGTTATTATATATTAAACCCATAGTTCTCGTGCCTGTGGTCATTATGTCCTGCTCACAGTATATCAATAACATAGAATACTTGATGGCAAGATGAATACAATACTTACTGTTGAAAAAGTCTGGCGTGCTAGGTTCCGTCATGAGAATGTGTGGAGCCAGCAGTTTGTAAACTTCACCATGTTCCCTTTCCGGGAGAAAATTTAATATATTTTGGTCCACCAAATCTGACTGGTACAAAAGAATGCTTTGTCATGTTCATGAAGGTATTGGAATAGTTAGAGAAGACACATGATACTTATAGAATGGATTATATGGATAAACCAAATAATAAACATATATTATTACCAAAAAAATAAATAAAAAAATATTATTATCCAGAAACAGAGGAGAACTGAAAAGGCAATTCAAAATTTTAAGCAAAAAAGAATCTTAAATAAAAACATTCTCCCGTTCTGCTATATTCTAGTTCAGCTAGAGCATAATACATTTTTGCAATTCCCATGTAAATTCTCCACAATCCTATGTGTATTGAGTACATTGATGAAAAGAACCAAACTTACCGGTAAATGGCCAAGAAGCGATGAAACACTGTCGGACACATAAATGATCATTCCATCAGTGGTTAGTGCAATAAGAAAGCCATCAAGTGCCTAATTCACAGGAAAAAAAATACAGTTAATCCAAACTCTATAGCTGGTTTTCAGACACGAAACCCACCAAAGAATTTATATAAAATATACCAATAATTTATGTTTAACTGGATCTATTTTAAGAAGCAATTATAATAAGTGTAGAAGAATGTAAAAAAAAAAAATGACACAGTACTTCAATATTGGAACAGCTCCATGCACTATCAGTATAATTTGACAATCTCAAGTTATTATTCTCATGACTGAGCTCCGAGTGTCACCTCCGTATTATTATTTTATAGAACATCATTATGCAATGTCAGATGCATAGCTTTCTAATGGTCAGTGTTATACCATTCCCTTTAACACTTGGCAGCTCTCTACCATTCTAACTGTCAGATCCTTATCACTCAGTTATAAAAGTGCCAGCATTCTAAGAAATAATGTTAAAAATACTCAAATCTATCTCATGCAGAAACACAAGATGAGATAGGGAAGACAGGCGATGTTTAAGGTAATTCAGCGGAAACTATGGCTTTTTTTTCAGTAGCCCCATAAACATACACAGTGCACACACATTTAAAACAAAATCATGTTTGAAAGGGAAACTATATAATCGATTATTTGCTGTGAAGCTCTATGTCATATCAGATTCATAATCTTGTATAATCTACCGATACACGTAATGTGATTTTGAGATCCATAACTTGTTTGACTTTTATGTAAAAACAATAAATTTAACTAAAATGAATAAATAAATACATACATACATAAAACACTGCATCAGTATTCTAGAATAATTCTAAAACTCAGTTATATTTTTCAGTTCTCAATATACTGATATCCCAGTGTGTTCACAGTTTTGATGACTAAAGTTCTTTTGTTCTAGGATGTTGGACTTATCTCCACAACCGTGGCATATGTCTTGGTTTCAGATGGGCCAATTCTGACTTGGGACCAAGTCCCTATGTCTTTTTCCCTCTCTTTACGTATCCCCTCGTTATATGCCACAATGCCAATGTATCCCATTCTTGGCAGGTCCAACTCTAGCATCCTAATGCCTGCTCTTGTATGCATCTTCAGGTAAGTGCAGCCCTCTTGTTTCATTCATTTATTTGGGAGTCCAGGCCAACTCCTTGGTTTTGCACCCCTCCCTGTCACAAGTGCCTCATCCCAGGGCCCTATTTAGATTTGTACTGTAGAGAGCCCCAGATGGAATTTTCCCCCCAAGTAAGTGGGTTAATCTCATAAGAGCAGACATTAGGCTGTTAGAGTAGGACCTGCCAAAGATGGGGTACATTGATGTTGTGGCAGGCTTATGCAATGTATGATCATATAATGTAACTAAACCCCCATTATTTTTGCCTAGATTAGGTGTTTTTAAAAAAGCAAACACAATCTGTCAGCATTGAAGTTGCTGTTTGATGGATAAGTGTATAAATTGGCCCCCAGCAGCACCCCATTTATGCATGTTCAGGTGAGTGCAGCCCTCTGGTTTCATATATATATATATCTGAGAAACATTCTCTGCATGTGCAATCTGATACTATGCATATGCAGAAGTATTAACCGATGCTGCTTCTACAGAGCTTGTGTGATCAGTGTCATGGTAGTCTAGATGTGCATGGACGTCTAACCAACTTCCTCACGTAGAATGTTACAACCATTACAGTTCAACACCAGATATCTTGTATGTTGGGACATAAGTTGAAGCAGTTGTTCTCACACTTAGAGACCTGGTTTTATCAATAACTAAATTGGAACAGAATTAAGTAATCCTTTAATCCGGCACTGTTGGCGTTTGATGACTGGTTTGAGAACTAGATTGCTACAGCAATCGTTTCCCATGAATATCAGCCTGAAAATTAGCCCAAATTTTGTCATCATTGTCTACAAATATTTTACTTTCTCCGTGAGACCTTACCTCTGTAGAAATGAATTAATGTGAAAAGTTCTAATGCATTATATAGAATGCATGCGTCTTATAACTTAGACAGAACAAAGAATTTTATGTAACCTGGCATCCTTAGACAACAGAAAATGACACTACTTAAATCTGCGCTTAAAGGTAAATAGGATTAAAACTGGTTTAGATACAGAGGGCCTTAATCTATTAAAGGAGCAAGGCAAATCTGACTCTTTTCTCTTGTTAACCCCCAACCGTTCTCAATAGCAGCTGACAAAGAAACCACCATACTCCGGAACTAAAAGATATTCTGTTTTTCAGTATATCTCCAGTGAACAAACCAAATCAAGATGTTTACCGGCTCAGTCACCAGTCCATATTTTTGGCAAACACATACATCAATGGTATACTTGCAGAACATTTTAGCTATCTATCGTCTGTTCTTGTAGAGCTTTGCATGGACAAAGAAGGGATCTTGAGATATGTCACTTTGATTGAGTTATTTGATGAATATGTTTATTTCGTATCAGCCTGGAAGTCACTTTTTTTTGGAATGCTGAATTTGAAATGTATCTTAACTTTTTTATGTGCATTAGTAATATTTACAATACTGATTACCCTAATTAACCAATAATATTAAATGTCACATACTATAAAAGTTGTATTAACGGGGAAGCGTCTATTGGAAACTAATGTTGGATTGTACTTAAAAAGAAAACAAAAAACATTAGGCACATTTTAGATAGCTTTTAATTCCTAAAATGTTATTGTTATGTTTTTATGTTTTCTGCACTCTCTGCTATGCTTCATTCATGCTGAACAGGCTTTTAAAGAGACCTCCAGAAAATCTGGGATTTGGTGGCAATGTCTCGGTTTGGGACCAGATTCCAGTTTTCCTCTCCTCCGGGAGAGTTTTCAGAGAGTGAAAAAATATAGATAAAGATGTCCAACCATATACTTGGCTAAGCAAATCACCCAAACCAAGGGGATGCCTGGTGCACCATGTTGCGGCTATACAGTTGTATATTTACACATGTAGATAACTCTGTAGGATTTTCATTGAAGACTAAAGCACCCTTGAGACAGCATTAATTATTATTGGTTTAAGTAGCTAAATTCGGATTGGGTTCTTATAGGTCAGTAGGTCTTGACCTTTATCCCATTCTCCCCCCACTCCCCAGATTATTTTCCCTCATTTGACTTTCTATTTTCAGTTCTAGACTGCACCGATTAATATGACTGCTCTATCCATGATTAATTCCTGTGTTTATCTTTCGAAGAAATATGGTTCTTTTCCGAGTCTCCTAAAGCCAGATTTACTATGTCATATGGCTTGCAGAAGCAACAAATGTTTCACAGACGATTCTATTCTATGTTGAATTTCCTATATTAAATATGCTTTTTAGAAAACCTGACACTTTTTTATAAATGTTATACTTATTACAGCATAGAAAAAGTTGAAGTAATGTGTTTTTAAGATGTTTGTGATGATACAGTGTAACTGACCTGCCATATATTATTCTCACTTCTGTGACTTGTAAAGTTCTAATTTAAGTTAGAAGGATTTAGGACTTGACAGACATGCTCTGTGCGCCTCAATAGGCTCTCTATGCAGAAATACTAGGTACATTATTGACTACTTTGGACATAATCAGCCGTCAGAGCTTGTAGGGGCAGTGATAGTCTATATTTGCTTTAGAAGGCATTTAAAGGGACACTCCAGACGCCTAAAGCACTTTAGCTTGCTGAATTGCTTTATGTGCAAAAAGTGTGTCCTCTTTTTTTTTATTTTACAAAAACTGCAGATTTCCAGAGAAATTGGCACATGTATAAGTAAACTGTGTTACACCACCTGGCCGTAAATCAGACAACTGTTCATGCTACTACCTGATTTGTTTAGCACAGTGGAGCTAAACTCGAGAGGTGGTCAATTGTTCAGACTTGCAAAGACTTCTCATTGAGCTGCATTTTGCTGGGAAGTCTGTGATTGGACAGCCACAGAAAGTCTAAGCTGCGTTTTAAGGGGATGGTCTGCAAAGGCTGCAGACAAGACAACCTGTTTTTATACCTAACACCAATGCAAACAAATATGCATAAATAAATGCATGCATGCTTTCTTTAGGGGTATATCTACTAAACATTGATTTTTTTTTTTTTTTTGTATTTGGTCACTGGAGTGTCCCTTTAACTTGGGTTTGCTTTTTGGATTGAAAGTTTCCAGCCTGCTCTGGCCAAGGTGCTGCCAAGCTGACAATACCCTGCAGGCAAGCTGCTCCCACAGTGCAGCGTCCTCAAGTGCTCTTCCTATTACCACAATAATGGCAGCATTGCTTGTGCCAGTTCTACCCACTCCCTTTTCTACAAGGAAAACAATCTCTTCAGTTGTTGACATATTTTGCCTCCACTTGCCCAAGTTAAAAAAAAAACCCACAGAGACAAGAAGAATGCTGTTACTCTGAGCAAGAATCATTATGTCTTGGAATAAATTAGCTTGATGACTAAGGTAATACTGGCAGCGACTTCTCGTGCACACAAGTTGGCATACACTGGTACATAACACTGCATAACAAAATTAGGGAAGGGCATCTACATAATTTATTTTTCTCTTAATTTACATTTTCTGCATTGTAACTTGAGAGCAGTCTTTATTTAATATTTATGTTTTATCAATTATCGTAACAGACTCCCTACTAATCCCATTGTCATGGCTTTTTAAAAAACAGATATGCTATGGTCTTTGCTAACCCTTTAAACATGACTAGACTAGACTGTAATAACTTGGAAATGGTGAGTAGTAATGTCAGATCTAGACTGTAATAACTTGGAATTGGTGGGTAGTAATGTCAGATCTAGACTATAATAACTTTTAAATGATGGGTAGTAATGTCAGATCTAGACTGTATTAACTTGGAAATGATGGGTAGTAATGTCAGATCTAGACTGTATTAACTTGGAATTGGTGGGTAGTAATGTCAGATCTAGACTGTAATAACTTTTAAATGATGGGTAGTAATGTCAGATCTAGACTGTATTATCTTGGAACTGATGGGTAGTAATGTCAGATCTAGACTGTAATAACTTGGAAATTGTGGGTAGTAATGTCAGATCTAGACTGCCAGATCTAGACTGTAATAACTAGTGGAGATCTAGACTGTAATAACTTTTAAATGTGGGTAGTAATGTCAGATCTAGACTGTATTATCTTGGAACTGATGGGTAGTAATGTCAGATCTAGACTGTGATAACTTGGAATTGATGGGTAGTGAGGTCAGATCTAGACTGTGATAACTTGGAAATTGTGGGTAGTAATGTCAGATCTAGACTGTAATAACTTGGAATTGATGGGTAGTAATGTCAGATCTAGACTGTATTATCTTGGAATTGATGGGTAGTAATGTCAGATCTAGACTGTAATAACTTGGAAATTGTGGGTAGTAATGCCAGATCTAGACTGTAATAACTTGGAATTGGTGGGTAGTAATGTCAGATCTAGACTGTATTATCTTGGAACTGATGGGTAGTAATGTCAGATCTAGACTGTAATAACTTGGAATTGATGGGTAGTGAGGTCAGATCTAGACTGTAATAACTTGGAATTGGTGGGTAGTAATGTCAGATCTAGACTATAATAACTTGGAATTGATGGGTAGTAATGTCAGATCTAGACTGTAATAACTTGGAATTGGTGGGTAGTAATGTCAGATCTAGACTATAATAACTTGGAAATGATGGGTAGTGATGTCAAACCTAGTCTGTAATAGCTTAAAATTTGTCCATACTCCGACCAATCCAGTTTCAGTAATAAAATCACACATTTTATTACTTACAATCATATTGGTAGTTATAGTACATAGCACCAGTCAACAAGCCAGGACCCTATGTGAGAGCGATATCTTACCTCTAGCATCAACTGAGTAAACTCTTCATTACTAAGAAATGAGGGTTTCCAGTCTTGCCTAATTTCACAGGCTTCTGTCTGTGCCGTGATTTCTGAAAAAACAAAGAAGCATATCAGTATTTCAGCACACAGCACATGGAATATGTATCTGTAACTGCTTTTAATTAGGTAAATGACTTAGCAATCAGGGAATTAGCTTTTAGTTTCATTGCATATGCTTTTGAAGTTTTGTCCAAACTTTTTTTTAGTGCAGGACAATTAAATTATTCTATATGCAATACATGATCCATGTTAATTTACTTAGTATCAGATACCTTTCTGTTTCTGTAAGAAATCGATTGTCCTTTGCAATATTGTGGACTTGTCCATCTTAAGAGGGTGTCCATGGCCCTGTAGCATAGTGCAGAGCTCTTTAATGAGGACATTAAATTGGTCTCTTCTCTTCTTCTCAGATTTGTTCCGTGATGCCCTAAAAAGAACACATAAAATGACTATTAGGTGGGCAACAGTAGCTGTACACTAGTTACGAGTATTAACCCATCACGTCATTTAATTCTTAAACAGTATACTTACTCTGGGAGGGCGCCAGTATACTCCTGGCACTATAACCACTGCAAGGGGCTTGAAATGTTCCTTTAGCCGTTTTGTACCAGGCATTTATTCTGCATAATCTCTAGAATGTGCCGATGTTTTTCTGAGATAAACCAGTTTACTCTGGCTGTGTCTATCAGCTAGTTTTACTATATTTTGCCACAAAAAGAAAGCACTTAATAAAATATATCCTTCAGAATTATTTTAGCAAAAATGTTACACTGCACGAAACAATTTTATCAAGTGTTTTTTTTAATGAAAAAATATTTTATCTCTACATCAAAGCTATCCACGCTAGCATCAGGAAGGTTTGTGTAGGCGTTGGGCTGACCTTTGTGGTACTATGTCTCTAAAACAGACGTTTGCTTGATGCTTTAGAAGCAAGTCTGGTTTGGGCTTTACATGTTATTTCATATACGACATATAATAAAGGAGTTCTTGGATTATCTTTCTTAGTCATTTCCCTCCAATTAAATTAATATGAATCATTGTTTATCATAAGAATTAAATTCAACCAGATCTGCTCATATGAATCTATTCATTGAAATGTATTGTTGCATTATAAGGGAAATAAAAAAAATATATATATATACAATCTGCTTCTGAGTTAACAAGTTCTCTTGTATTATATTATAGTTTTGATAAGACCTATCTGTAAAACCTGTGCTCTCAAACGATAGAGGACATTTATGTTAACATGTTAGAAAATGATCTTTAGAATGTTTAGTAACTAGCACCACCGCTGTGGCCAATGCAAAGTACAGGAAAGATTAGGGATTTGAAGATCAAATAGTGACCATTTGGTATTCTGAAACATCACATTAATGACACACATCATAGCAAGGTATAATGTTATTATACTAGAAATTTGTATTGACTGTGTAAGTCATTTTGTTCCTTTGCTATTCTGTAATCAGCTGGTTAGGGAGGTTTTTATGTTCTAGGACACATTGATTCATATTTTGCTTATATCTCATTTGCTAGTTGAGTATTACAGAAGCCTTTCCTGGTAATACTCTCTTGCACACATTGTGCTTACATACAGTTAGCACTCGTTAAGGCCATTGTGTACAGAGGTGCTGACACGAGCCCAAAATTAAAAATAATTGACAATGACTGGAAGATTAATGTTGGAGAAGAATCCTGTCCCGAAAGGTCATGTGCTTGCAAATGATACATCTGGAGTGGTCTAGAATTCAAGTGATGTTCTTAGAATGGTGACGGTCAAGGGATACCATGGCCAGATTTAGCCAATGGCTGGATAAATACTGGAGGTAGCTTTGCATATTAAGTGTTGTAACAGATATGATAAATCACTAAATTCACCTCTTTGCTCTGTCTTTCTCATCTTCATCCATCAGCTTATTTGGGCAACACAGGATTCTAGAAGCATACAAAGAATAACACATCAACCTTGTAATAAAAAGTCTATATATTTGCAGTGAAGGTATTTAAACAAACACTGATGTCACCGTGACTTGGATATGGTGTTCTACATTCACAGAAACTTAACAAGATGAAATCAGATCAATTTCTTCTATAACAGCATTGTGATATCACAAGATCTATTGGCTTTACTTATAGGAAGCAGCGACTACGTAGATATACTTTAAAGACAGTAATTGGTAATAAAAAAAAAGATTTTGTCAAGTTTCTACTTTGAGTGTCTTTTATTTCTATGTGTATTCGGGAATAACCAAAAATATACATAGTATAATGGTTAAAGATTCACAATATATTAAAGAACAAGATATCTTCCCTGGAGATTCAGATCCCTTTTAGACCACATGTTGCTGTCAGTCATGATGTTGAATCCATCATGTCACTCATCACGTCATCACTCCTTGGTAGTTACCAGAGGACAGATGTCTTCTAGCACCCTCATAATGTATTACCAGAAAATGGTATCCAATGGGGTGTAGCCCTGTAAGCCAGTGGCTTTTTGGCTGGTTGTCATTATATGCTTTTTTATACTTGTTTGAGACTCTGAAGAGCTGGAACCTTGCCTGGTGGTGAGAATTTAAAGTACTAGAATCCACCCATGAGTGTCTGGTTTGTGTGTTTTTAATTGTTTCCAGACTACAGTGCTTATAAAATGGCATGCACCATTCATCTCTTATGTAATCATTATGGCAAGACGGCAATTGATAGACGTTGAAAGATAAATTATATATAAGCTAAATTTTAGTAATTAACTAGGGTTAGTAGATCAGAATTAGAGTTAGAAGAGGTTACAACAGTCTTTTGGCATTGGGTTAGAGGGCTAGTATTGGAAGCAATAGAGTTCAGGCTGGCAGGTTAGACGTTATGGTTTGAGACAACAAGTTTACGGATGCAGTTAGGATCAGGTTAGGTTAGAGGCATCAGATTCCATTTTAGAATCTTCATTTGCTGTGACCAGTATTATTGAACCACCACCCATCCATCACACCATTCTACACAGGCAGTACACTTCCAAGAGCTGGTACTTACACATCGGGGTTCTCTGTGAGGGCAGGCACTTTGTCTGCTTCTTCTTTCACACTACATTGAAAGAAAAGATTGAATATGATGTTAATAAATGCAACACTTAATAAGGCATGTTAACTTTTGCATTCTCAGTTTCTCCTGTATGAAAGGGAACTCTGAAGAATCACACATACACGGAAAATTTACATAGATTGAATATTTTGAATCTTATTTGCTAATTTTAAAATTAACGGAGTATGGAATCTTTTCCTTCCCTCTCCAGTGTCTTACGGCAGCCAATAGCTCATAATGTAAGTCCATCCAGTTACCTTTCTGGAATAGCTACATACAATTACATATGGAATGGTCACACATATGGCTGTTATTGCTAGAAATGGCTATTTCACAAAGAAGGTTTTGCATCTTGCTCACAGTAATTTCAGCATAAAGAGTTTGGGGTATGTACAATATATATGTAGATACAATAAAAAAATGTGGTAAATGTGGTTAGAGCTCAGGAGAGAGAGAGAGAGAGAGAGAGGGAGGGAGGGAGTTGAAATGGTTGAATCACTGTGCAAGATAATGCAACAATATACTACATTAGTTATAGTATTATATATATATATATATATATATATTTAGATAGATATATACACTATGATAATGGTCTAAATTTAAGAGGCAGGACATTGTTCAGAGCACCTGCCTTGCAAAGACTTCTCATTAAGCTGCATTGGGAAGTCTGTGATTGGACAGCCACAAAAAGTCTGGGTGGGGTTTGAAGGGGAGGGTTTGCAAAGGCAGACAAGAGAACTGCAACTATTGCAAACTATAATTAAATGCATGCATGTTTTAATTGTTGGTATATCTACGAAACAGTGATTTTGTTTATACAATCTATAAAAGCACAATATAAAAATATGATTAACTATATTAAAAGTAATGTATGATAATATTGCTGCTACCACACTGGTGTGTAACTTTTCCCAAAACACACACAATAAACGTGCTTAAGTGAGTAATTTTTCAGAAGCGCCCTACTTTGGGACATAGTGATTCAATAAAGTGAGTATTGCCAGGAAATCAGAGTGAATTTCAAAATTTTGGCCCAAATAAGCAAATTAGTAAAAAAATAAATCTTCAAGCAAGTCAGTTTTCAGTTTGGCTAATTTGGTCTTAGTTTTGAAAATCACTTTGAATTAACTTTGAATTCCCAGCAATTAACAGTTTAGAGAGTAATTCGGCAGTGTCATTTAGTAGGGAGGTTCACAGCCATAATATTTAAAAATAAGGCTATAACTGTATTTAAAATGTAGTTGTTGTTAATAAAATAATCTGGAAAAACTAGTGATGTAAAGGCATGGTAGTGTGGAAACAGCGAGCTCGGAGTATTCCTATTCAAATTAATAAAAATAGTGAAATAGTGCACGTGTAAGCATTACGTCATGATGGCCTCCTTTAAGGTAAATTGGGGCCAGCTTCAAGAGAACTGTGCATGTGTAAGGAATGCCCATTAATTTGAACTAGAAGCCCTTGGCATGTGCAGCAATAAATGTGCACTCATTAGTTCTTCTTAAATAAAATGAAGGTAAGGTTAGACAGGTAGAAAAGGAAAAAAAGTTAAGAAAAATAAATACTTTTAGCATGCAGGTAGACCGCAACCTAGAGACTATTAATCATCTAGTGGCTGGTCCTTCCCTTCCAACAGGTATAGATGTGCTACATGTTGTTTTGTGTTGCAAAAAGTCCCATTTACACTTTCCGGAAACCATGGTTTAATCTATGTAGTGAAACAATTTTTTGTGCCTTGGCCCCATTCTGTCCCTCTGTATTATAATGAGGGGACTGAAAATGGCAACTCCTTCAATCCTCCTACCTTTAAACCAACTGTCGTAGATCAATACTTAGGGATGTATTTTTGGAACCAGGTAGATTAGGGGGATGAGAAAAGGCGTCCCCTTGCATACTCTGTACACTTGGGATATTTGTGCAGGCTGCAATAGTATACACTGTAGCAGACCAGGAATGCTCAGCTGGAGCTCTCAGCCAATGATTGTGGTCTTGTTTGTCCCTGCTTAGTTCTATTTAGTTAACAGGACTCTCTGAAAGTAGAAACAACCAGGTAAGTTGTCAAACCAGGTAAGTTGTCAAACTAACCCTTAGCACGCCATTTAGTCCAAGTTTTCAGTTTGTCAAACCAAACAAAAAGAGATTGACTACTTACTTTGGGCTTTTTCCTGTTCCAAAAACATCGACATTTATCTTTTTAAATGTGACAAAATGATTTAGCCTTAAAATTTTGTCTACGATATAAAGGGTTAGATGTTGTTGTCTTCTATTCGTGTCTATATGGGGTCGGCAAGGAAGAGGTTAATATGTGGGTTTTTTTTTAATGGAAGCTATTATCATAGGCAACACACAACAATTATATCAAGCAACCAGTGTTTTGTTTTTTTTCTAAAGGAAATAAAATGTCAAGTGGTGTGAAGCCATAACCTGGTTAAACACATAATTTAATAATACGTGAGTTGAGTGTTTGTAACTGGAGGTACGAAGCAAATTGTGTTTGTAATGCTATCGGGCGGAGACGAGAGGAGCTTCTTTGCCCTTTCATTTTCTATGTTCGGAAAGCGAGCTGCCTGCGTCACACAGCTCACGAGTTTTTGTGATAGAAAATATGTAAGTGGCATATTTGTAATTGTAAATGAGGTACTAGGTTCCTTACGTAGACGAGCTATTGTGCAGCTTCTGAAAATGACAATTAACAGGGAGCAGAAGGAGCATCTGGCTAACAGCTAGAACATCCATAAAGCTATTAAATATAATAAAATGATTACATTGTCAACAGATTTATTAACAGACGGAACTGGGCTAGACTTGCTACCAAATATGACTTTCATTTTAATACGTATACTCTCTTTACAATCTTAACATCAGCTGTTCCCCAAAGCAAAATTCATACCCAAGGCATAGGGAAAATATAGGTAGTGACTCTCTGATGATGTACAGTATTTTCTAAACCACAATGTGACAGATTTATTCTGGACCTAAAAATCATGCCTATATGCCAATTGGCACTGAAACGTAATCAAAAAAGCACTCAACATTCAGCCAGACCCATATCATATATACCAAGTATCTCTCACAACAAGTTTGCCCACGTTATAAAATACTTTTTATTACCCAATGTCACATCTAGCCATGTAGTTAGTCTTACTCTGAATTTTCAATGTTTTCCCACATCACTTACAACACCTACCAATTGCAGTTTTCTCTATAATCAAATGATGCACTTATTACTAAATTATATATCTATTATAACACACTTATGGCACCTATATCATATATACTACCTATTCATTTTTCACATCACATTAGCGCACCCATATTGCACTTATATTAAACACAGAACACCTTAAACAACATAGCATCCAGATCACACGCAACACTAATATTTCACCTACAAATGTGGTAATGACATCACATACAGCACCCACGTACGAAATACCGCACTGACTCAGAATAATCATTGCGGAGCAGATTTTATACAAATATTAATAAGCAAATCTAAATGAAGTTGCAACATATTTGAAAGTTGGAGGGTAAACAGGCTAAAAACTCTAAGTTAAGGAAAACGAATTATTCCTTGAATTTATTTCCTTGACTTTTCTAAATATATTGTGAATGTACATCACATTGCTAAATATGATGTAGGTAGATATGATATATTAATCAATGGTGGATAAAAATTAATATAGGGCGGATAGATGGGAAATTTATTGCAGCCCAAAATATATTTTGATGGCTGTGCAAACCTTGTAAATATAAACAATGAAACCCGGATAAACAGTTCTATCTATATTTATACTACTGTGGATATGCAGACCTTAAAAGTTACTCACCACTGCAAGCCTGGAGGGTGTATAATTCAGATGTCTTCCCACTTCATATAAACATGCAAATCTGATGGATACTTAAGATGTTCCCTCAAATCACTCTTCCATAACTTTCCCCTTTATTCTAAAATATATATTTTATTTTTGGGGGAGAGGGGGAGGGAGGGGGTTAAAGTGCTATGTACAGAGCAAAGATGTAAAAAGGGAGAAGTCACCAATGGCATGTGCTTGTTGGTTCCACTGGTTTCCATGGTGATTGTTCAACTTTTAGTACTTTGCGCTATTCTTCAGAAGACAGCACTTTGATAAATCTTTCAAAACTTCATTAAACATGTTTTTCTCTATTTTGCTATTTGAAACAGTTTAATTGCTGTCAAGTTGCTGGCCAAAAGATATTAATAAGATGACTCAAACCTATATAGCTGGTGACTATTAAATAAACTGTCTCTCTTTGCACCTAACAGACAGAACCAAACAGGTTACGCACCACTTACACAAAAACAGAGAATATGAGAACTCTGAGAATGGGCCACAGCTTAGAGAAACTCAGTAGCTTGCCCTTCTCAGGTCTTAAAAATGTATTTTCTCTCAGTTGTGCCATCACAAAGAGAATCTATATAATTTGCATATCAGACTGATCCCTCCCATAAGGGCAGTCCAGAACCAAAATGCCAGCAAGCGTTCTGCACTTTTTTGAGACCTGAGCATGAACTAACCAAAGGGCAAACTACTGAGCTTCTCTAAGCTTTAGCCTATTCATAGAGTTCTCTGTTTGTGTTGAAAAGCAGTTGTTGGGCTCTCCCTAAGCTTAAAGTGTAAGCCAGATGTGGACTCTGAGGGGAATCAGCTACACCTCACTGATGAGGTCCAAAGAAGGTTGAAATGTTTATTTGTGGACACAATTGGAATTAAATAGTTAAAATATATACATTAAAAAGTCGGGTTGTCGTGGATAAATGGCTAGATAAGCCCATCTCCTGGATAGGACGCGTACACGTGGTAAAAATGAATATATCGCCCTGTGTGCTGTTCCTTTTCCAGGCCCTACCCATCCCAATCACTAAATCCGACCTGGCACCATTACAACAAGCAATAGGAAAATTTATATGGCAAAATAGAAGGCATAGGATTTCAAGAAATATCCTATTTAGACAAAAACAAAGAGGGGGTCTGGGCCTGCCACACTTATATTTTTATTACCTAGCAGCCCAACTCTCACAGGTGGCGATGTGGCACGCCCCCCTAGAAGAAAGAAGATGGGTAGATCTTGAGTCCCTCTTAACAGGTGTAGACCTACCCCAATTACATGTGGGTGGCAAAAGAGGATAGGCCTATCCTATGCACAACCTGCCCGGCAATTCTAAATTCCCTGAGAATATGGGATGCCACAGCCCACAAATTTAAACTAGTTTCCGTCCCATCACCGCTCACCCCACTGTTCAGAAACAGAGCCTTCCCCGCCGGAATGACAGCAAGAGACTTTGCTAACCTTGAAAAGGTGGGTCTCCAAAGGATATGCCATATGTATAAGGATAACACATTAGTTACCTTTGATCACCTGCAACAGGCGACACACCTCACCCCAGCTGACTTCTTCCGATACCTACAACTTAAAGACTATATGAAACGTCCACACCTACAACAAGCAGCAACAGGGCACATGTCTTTCTTTGAAAGAATGTGCCTAAACGAATGCATGCCACCGGGTCTTATCTCAAAGCTATACGCAAACATTAGCTCAGAAACTGATGAATGGGGCACACTCACCTACAGGGACACGTGGGAGAGGGAACTGGGGGAGGTACTGGAGGGAGTAGAATGGAGGGAGATATGGGAGGTGAACACTTCAGTATCCATATGTGTGTCTCTCCAAGAACAAGCATATAAGACACTGTTCAGGTGGTACACTACACCAGTTAAATTGCGTCAAATAGGGAAAACCCCTACCGACGATTGCTGCAGGGGATGTGGCCTTAAAGGCATGTACATTCATATGTGGTGGGAATGCCCTCAGGTACAAATCTTCTGGGAGGAGATACATAACTTGATATTGCACATTTTTCATAGAGCACCAGACTTAAGCCCATGGACATACTTACTTAACAGACCCCTAGAGGACTGGACAAAAAGAGAGCAAAAATTACTACACAAGGTGACGTTAGCAGCCAGGAGAGTGCTAGCCCAAACGTGGCTGAAAGTAGAAGTACCCCCTGTGAGTACCGTTCATAAAAGATGTATACCTTATGGACAGCTTAATAGCTAGGGTTCAAGGGTCTATGTCATGATTTGAGAAAATGTGGGAACCCTGGACTTCTAGCGATCTAACCTAAGTGAGCATCAGCACAGATAGGGTGCGACCGACCTCACCCCAACCCACTAAGAGATAGGCCCCAATAGGCCTAGGGATCATACATAACACACACCATGCCGCCGACATTCTCCTGCCTGATGAACCCCCTCTAATACTTTTATCTCTCTTTTTCTTCATATCCTTTTCTTTCTATCTCTCTCTATTGCTTTTCCGGTGGGAAACTTGGCCCGATAGCCAATTCCGAACGTCATGAATAAATATAGGGTGGGACCTATCCGGCAACCGCAGAGGAGACAGGTGCCATGAGCCCTACCGGAAAGGTTGACAGATACATAGGCTTCCATATGCACTGTTGAGAAGTTTGGTTACTTAGTTTATGAACTATCGTTACAGTTGTATATTACATTATATAAAAATATAAAAATAAAAAGCAAAACGAAGGTATCTTGACAAACCGGAACACTAGACCACATTTGACTGAGATAGACCGTGGCATGTATCAATACCAAGAAATCTGACTGTAATAACATAACTGTGGCAATGTATACTGTTTACTATGTATATGTCAAGCGCTTCAATCATAAATAAAGTATTTAAAAAAAAAAAAAGTCGGATTGAATATTTTAACAGTACTGTCTGAAAGCAGTAATTTATACAAAAATCCTGTGTGAAAAAAAAACAACTATTCGCTAGCAAGGGATTCACTAACTTAGCAGTCATCATTAAGTACAATCCAGATGTAGCCAAAGAATTGGCTTTATGCTGTTCAAAATGGCTATCACTTTGATAAAGAGGTCCCGCTGCATTGTGGGTGATCGTTATTAGAGTGAACTTATCTTCACATCTCATAATATAGTGAAGTTATGAAAAACAATGACACGCAGTTTGGTATGTTTTAATATTTATTTATGCTGACACTGTAACCAGTACTTACATGTGAGTTGTACTATGTAATTATAAATATTTTAGGAAAATTCCTAGTAAACACCCAAAGTAATGGGAAAGGTAGCCACACCCATTAAGAAACCATAATACGATTCAGAGAAATGCAGTAAGCCTAATTTGAGTTTGCTGTGTTAAGTACCTGAGATAAAGCGGATATGCATTCCAAAATTGGTCACAGGATGCCACACGTAGATCCTACTTTTCAACATGAGGGTTCATGCTAGTTAAATTAGTCCAGTCATGATAAGTAATATATTTTTCAAAATCAGCTGGGGCCTTAGCTCACACCAAAATGTGGTCACACCTGCTTCAAGGCTGCAGTTTATGGCCATCAGGTCAATCCTCAATGCCATATTGAGGCATATAGCCCATTCACTACTGATTTTTAGATGAATTTTAGATTAAAAACAAAAGAAGGAAGGTATGCAGAAGAGGATAAAGGTCTAGCTGACTGCCTCAATGAATATTTGTGTTCAGTATTTACAGATGAAAATGAAGGAAAGGGCCTCAGTTAGGAAAAAGGATAAATGAGTCATTT